TATCGTGGCGTATATCTGCATTGGGGTCGGGCAGTCGTGTGCATTTCGTTTTGCGAAATGATCTTCCTGTCGCACGCCAACTCTTTCATCACGTCGTGAAGTCTGATAGATAGATCTCAAATGGAGGCCGGATGCCTGTGCCTTTTGTACGCAAGTATAGTCGCGATGCGCTAGTCGTTGTAGTACCAACACTCCAAACACTGGAGATCGAGAAGTCAGTCAAGGAGAAATGTGGGATCTAGCACGTTATAAGTCTGGCAGCGGCATGACAACCATGCGGCCCATATGTATGACAGAGGCGGCGGTTACTCGGCAGCCACTTCGCGCTCGTCAAGACGGTAAGGCGGCAACGCTAGTGTGCAAGTGTGGCTTAGTGACCAAACTGGTATGCTCCAAGATCACTCGTTGCACGCCTTACCCCAATTGTGCAGAAGATGAATCAGCTAGCCAATCGAGTGTCGTTCGTGCAAGCACAACTACGCCTAATCGCACGACGAACACCCCCAAATGAACGTGCAGCTGACTGCCTGGTGTGGTTATGCAAGATAAGCGCGAGCTGAAACTGTGCACTGATCAGTCTTGGGCAAAGCCATATCTCACAACGCACAGCCACAACCGCTGCGGCGGTCTTGACCCTGGCATGGCGGGAATAACCTTTGGGGGGACAAGCCCGTAATCCGGGGAAGTTTGGGCCCTGGGCGTGTTCAGTCGTGCAATGTTCGGAGCTGAAGATACGTAGCCCGTCAGCACTACAATCTTGGAGTGAACACACACGGGCCTTCTGTGTAAGCAGCCGATTCCGGCTACCTTTTGCGAGAAGTACTCTAAATGCGCCATAGTGATGGTGAGTAGAATTTGATACATGTGTGCCAAACCGACGTGGTGGTAGAGTTCGTTTCCAATGAGTCGTTTATATTGCGCCGTAACATGAGTTATGAGCAAGGCCTAGACTGAGTATTTGTGAAAAAGACCGAAGGGAGCATGCGACGTTGAGATGAGTTCGCAGAAGACTTGGTGTACTGAAGCTTCAAGCAACGCTGATCTCACGATGCGCCCAGAAGGGGAAGTTTGCCAGACTGAAAGGCGCCATTGGGATTACACGTTGGCAACTTTGGCGCATTTACAGAATACGAGTTTGATCGGCGCCGGCTTATGCCCGCCGTGCGTTGTCGAGGTCAAATTCTAAGCTCTATAGGTTTGAAATTGCGCCATGCATGCCAACCTCGCAGATCGTCTAATAACAATGGTGAGAGCTGAGGCAGTCTGAGAACAGAAATTCTCGGAGCGACCGCCAAGCTACCTACTCGTGAGAGAATCTAATTCCATGAAATGCTACGGAAGTCAGCATTAAACCACAACAAGGGATGGCGAAACTTACTACAACATGATACCGGCGCCAGTGAACATGGCGGCGAATTGCATCAGAGTCTTCCTGAGCTCTTGGCCTTTGTTCGGACCGGTCTCGAGGAGTTCAGGGATAACAGCAACAGTGCCAACATAGAGGAAAGTACCTGCAGTAAATGGTAGTAGCATGTCACCCCACTGCAGACTAGTGCCCATGATGCCAGGACCTTGGATGTCAGCAGAGGCGGAGCTGCCTCCAAATTCTTGGACAGCAATGCCAATGCAAGTTCCTAAGAAAGCGCCGACGGCGGTAACGAATTGAGCCCCCATAGCGGCTCGCTTGCTGAAGCCAGACTGTATGAGGAGAGCGAAGTCGCCGACCTCGTGGGGGATCTCATGGAAGAAGACAGCCACAGTCGTAGTAGCACCAATCGTAGGCGAGGCGTAGAATGAGGAGCTGAGGGCCAGACCATCGGTGATGTTGTGGGTGAAGTCTGCAATGAGGTTGAGGTAACCACCAAGCTTGACACTGGCGTTGATCTCTTTATCTGCTGTCTCTACGACAGACGATGTGCCATTTGCGCCAGACTTCCTGGAGCGCACGCCATCTTTGGAGCTGCCGACATCAACGCCTGTTGTCTTCGCGGAAGCCTCAACTTTGTCGTGCGAGTGCCCATGCGAGTGGTCGTGTCCGCCCTGGCCTCCCGTCGCAATTCGAAGACCCTTGTCCATGGCCACGAAGGTGATGAAGCCGACCATGATAGCTACGCCCAGCAACAGGTTCTTGTTGGGTTCGACCATGACGAACTTGACCGAGTCGTGCTCTTCCTCGCCCAAGAAGATCTCAGGGAGCAGGTGGAAGAGAGTATCACCCAACAGGCCGCCTACAGCGAATGCGACCATGACGGAGAGCGAGGAGGGGTCGATGTTGGGCGGGCATAGTGCGAGGAGGAAGTTTGGTGGGCCCGAGATGTAGAGCGTCGCTAGCAGGGAATTGACTGCAGGGCTGCCAGGGAACAGAAAGGCGAAGATCTGAGAGGTGAGGGAGGACGTGGTCGGGTTCGAGGCTGCCTTGTGCTGGTTGAGAGCTTGCACAAGGGGACACTCCTAGCTGGTGTCAGTACCGCCATGAGCACGCGACATCAGGGTATCTAGACGATAACTGGTGTCAAAGGAATGCGCTATCCTCTATCCGACCCAGGTGATGGTGCAAGAGGTTTAGTGAGGCTGGCGAGTGGAAGGCGTACCTGCAATTGCTCTTCAATTTCATGGGCGCTCAGGTTGCCTACTGGCACGCCGGTCTCGCCCTTGACGGCTGCAGCTGCCACGTTCCATCCCAGCACCCCGAGGAAGATTGCCAAGTACAGCAAGGTCCGGTTGCGCCGCGAGACCATGATGACGCGTGAATTGGTTGGATGCAATATACAGACCCTGATATTGGGTCGTGGGGTTGATGCTTCAGGGGTCTGTCCTCATGGAAGCTGGCCTGCTCGTGGGTACCTAGCCCGCCCGCTATCGATAACGCTAACGGAAAGTTCGCCAAAACTTTTGGAAGTTGCGACCGGCGCCTCTGCAACACCAGAGACAATACACTGATACCCTCGCAATCCTCCAGAACAACACAAAATGGGTCGCGAACTCCAGAAGAAGAAGAACCGGTCGTCCATCCCCAAGAAGCGCAAAAATGGCCCTTCCAAGAAGAAGATTCTGCAAAACCCCATCATAGCGAAGCACTGGTACGACACAATGCGCCTGCCTCTGCGTTACCAACCAAACTGACACAATCGCAGGAACCAAAAAGAGACATTATCGCAAAATTATCGCCGTCTCGGTCTAACGGCGCGCCTCAACCACGCAACCGGTGGCACAGAGAAGACGATTGCCCTCCTTGGCCTCAACGATGAGAAATCTTCGCGCGCCGACACCGTCGCCAACAGCACAGCAGACGCCCTCAACATCGTTTCAAAAGCCAAGAAGCCCGAGAACATCGCAATCGAGGAGATCGAAGTCGAGCGCGACCCCGAGACAGGCGCTATCCTCAACGTAACAGGCACACTCGACAAGAAGGACAACCCGCTGAACGACCCCCTCAATGAGATCGAAGATGACAACGAAGAGATGGAGTGGAACGGCTTCTCCATGGTACCAGAGCGACCTGAAGAGGCCGAGAACCCAGTCATCCGGGAACTTGAAGAGGCTGCCATGAACGGCGCGAGGAAGGCACCCCGCGGACAGAGCCAAAGGGAGCAGGAGTGGGTGGAGCGATTAGTAAACAAGTACGGGGAGGACTACGGAAAGATGGCGAGAGACCGGAAGCTCAACCCCATGCAGCAGACCGCTGCGGACATCAAGAAGAGGGTCGCCAAGTGGCAGAAGGCGCAGAACAAGGCATAGGGTTGCGACTTAGGTATGCATAGCAGGTGTTGTGGCGTTTCTGGGCACATTTGTCGCACTCAAAATTCGAATACCAAACATCAGTCTCGGCTTTGAGCGGACTACGAAGGACCGTGCTCCCCATCGTTCAAGGAGTTTTGTGTTGGACAGGTGATGGCTCGTGCTCATCTCTCAGCGGTTACTAGACCCTGAACTGCACCTACCCCACGAGTTCTGAACTTGCACATTCATCCATGGATGCAGCAACCACCACACGCACATAGCGGACATTCTCATATTGGGTAGACTGACTGCGATCGCGTCTAGGCATGTGTCGGACGAAGCGAACGAAATGCGCAACAGGCTGGTACACTCAGCGGGCAAAAGAGACCGAGAGGCATCCTCTTCCACTCCATCCGGAAGTCACCGTCAGCTCAATCGCGTAGACTAGATGAGAGAATCTATCTCAAGAGAAATTCGACGAGAAACCTCCCGCACAGCTCGGAGACGGTTCCTTTACCAGATTTCATCGGAGAAGACCGTCTCATTGACCATCCGCGTACCCACTGACCAACAAGTAACCCAAGTCATCCCTCCCCACACCCCAGAAAGCGCTGCCCACAGATGTTACGTGAGCCCGAGGTACTCACAACTGATAAGTCTCCAGTATGGCCCTTTGCCACCCGCCGCGGAACCCAGCGGAATACCAGGATGTCCCTCACTAAGCGTTTCTGGAACAGCAGAATGCTTCCAGAAGTAAGCTCAGCAGCACTCATGCTTGTTTCCAACGAGGAATGACGTCGAACGCCATGACTCAGAAGCATTTCGGATGGTCAGATTGCGCAATGAACGAAGTTGAGCGTCTTTCACGCAGAGCTCTCGCTTAACACTACCTCATGCTCAGGTGCTTAAGTACTACTTGTATGTACTAGCGAAGAAACATCAATCATTTACGACGTATTATTGGTTACTTTGGAAGTGTTGCTGGCTTCAGATTCAAACCCACCAAACCGTCGTCAGTCTCGTGATACGTCCTCGACCGAACCGCGAGGATTACTCTCATCCGCCCTTATCCGCCCCACAGTTCTCCCCAAGATTTTTCGATCTTTGGTCAGTCTCTGCATGACCTCGTGCCCATGGGGCAAATGGGGGTCTGTCAGCATGGAAGCTCCAGGTCCCGTTGCCGAAGATGAGTCGGGTTTATAAGAGAGGTTGTGTTACCTCAGAATGCTTACCATCTCAGCATTTCTGCCTCATTCTGTCAATGAAAACGCATCTCAACGATGGACAAGATCAAGATGAAGCTACCGAACCCTATAAGAGACTGGCGACGCAGTAGCTCCGTTGAGCAGACATCGCAAAACGTCGACGAACATGCTGGCTACGATAATACCCCACTTCCGAGGTTGACATGGAAGAGTTTCTGGATGGGTATGTTGGTGTCAATGGGAGGATTTGTCTTCGGGTGAGCAGTGCCCAACACAACTACCTTCGCTCCAGCTAAATGTCTTAGCTATGACACTGGTCAGATCTCTGGGTTCCTTGGTATGGTCGACTTCCTTCGACGCTTCGGTCAGAGGCATGCAGATGGCACGCCATACTTCTCCAACGTACGATCTGGACTCATCGTGGGTCTATTGTCTATTGGTACATTGTTTGGTGCTTTGATTGCGGCACCAATCGCAGACAGGATTGGGCGGAAGATGAGCATCATATGGTGGTGTGGTATCTTCTCTGTGGGCATCATCGTCCAGATTGCTGCCACAGATGAGTGGTATCAGGTCATGATGGGCAGGTTCGTTGCCGGTCTCGGTGTTGGTGCACTCAGCCTACTCGTACCCATGTACCAAGTACGATCCCCACATGAACAGCAAATGTCCATCACTGACAGACATAGGCGGAGACAGCACCTCGACATATCCGCGGAGCCTTGATTTCCACCTACCAACTCTTCATCACATTCGGAATCTTCCTGGCCGCAGTCTTCAATTACGCTGCGGAACGCCACCAATCCGGTAAAGCCGCATCCTGGCAGATCACCCTCGGGCTCTCCTTCGTACCTGCAGCTATTCTCGCGGTAGGTATTTTGGGCTTCTCCGAAACACCTCGGTTCAACTACCGTCATGGTAAGATCGACCAGGCCACCGCAACCATGTCGAAAGTATATGGGGTACCAACCAACCATCAGAGCATTCAGCTAGAGCTTGAGGAGATGAGGGTCAAGCTCGAAGCCGAAAGCAAGCTTACCAACGGACCCATACAAGAATGGTTGGGTATGTGGATGGCGCCGAAGATGGCATACAGGTTGGCAATTGGCATGGGCTTGCAGATGTTTCAACAGTTGACAGGCGCCAACTACTTGTAAGCAACTAATCGCCCCCAGTGAGCACATTCTGACATCCCAAAGCTTCTACTACGGTACCGTAGTCTTTGCCGGCACTGGTATCAAGAACTCGTTCGTTACGCAGATGATCTTGGTATGCAACCTCATTCCGCAAGGCCATCCATAATGGCGCTGACCTCTTTCAGAACGGCATTAACTTCGGCGTCACCTTCTACGGCCTTTATATCGTCGAGCACTACGGTCGTCGCAAATCGCTCATTGCCGGCTCATGCTGGATGTTCATTTGCTTCCTCATCTTCGCTTCTGTCGGTCACTTCGCCCTTGATCGCGACAACCCGGAAAATACCGAAAGCGCAGCCACAGCGATGATATGCTTTGCTTGTTTCTTCATCTTTGGTTTTGCGACAACGTGGGGTCCGATGATGTGAGTTTCGCGCCGATTCCCAGTATGCTACGTCAAACTGACAACGTCTAGCTGGACAATCTGCGGAGAGTTATACCCCAGCCGCTATCGCGCGAAAGCCATGGCTCTATCAACGGCATCGAACTGGCTGTGGAACTTCCTTCTCGCATTCTTCACGCCCTTCATCACTGGTGCCATAGATTTCCGCTATGGCTACGTCTTCGCCGGGACAAACATCCTAGGTGGTCTTATCGTATACTTCTTCGTCATCGAAGGCAAAGGGCGCACACTCGAGGAGATCGATACGATGTACCTGATGGGCGTTAAGCCATGGGAAAGCGCAAAATGGGTCGTTCCCAGCCTGGAAGAGATGAGCGGAGATATGAGGGTTAAGCTCGAGTCCGCAAACCCGGAGTTGGCGCTCAGGAAAGAGACTAACGGAGGGACGGCTGATGACAATGCTAGTGTGAGGCACGAAGAGGATAGCGAGGCGATTCGCGGGGGTGAGGCTATGAGTGACGGGAGTGAAGAGGGGTTGAGGGAGAAATCCGAGGTCTCGCCGTAGTGAGCTTGTTGCAGATGCGGTGGTCGCTTGGTTGGTCTGGGTGAAGCAGGTCAATCCGTTATTGTTGGTAACTCCCGCTCATACTGCAATGCTCGTAATTTTATCTATCGTCTGCTGATGTGAAGGGTTTTGCGCCGCGGCATGCTCCCGTTGAGATCGTTCTCGTAGAGCTAGACGCTCTCTGTAAGTCGCGCCACGTGCACGCGTCGGGATTTGCAGCAGGCTTCATCCCAGCCTCCTCAACATTCATCCCGCGAACGTCAGTGCAACTCCATTTTGACTTACACAATTCTCACCTCTGTGCTGGCAGCATCCGCAAAGGAAGGTGTCATCGGAAAGAGACCTGATTCGTATCCAGTCAGCCTTGTGCGGCGTTGCACCGCGCTGAGTTCGCGACGGAACCCGATTTGGCGCTGACAGCTGCAGTGTAAACGACGTAGCGGTGCCGAAAAGCTTATGAGGTGAGCGCATCGGCGTGACCGACCGCCAGCGTCGACTTATTCAGGCCACCCCAAGCTGAAAATTTGTTCGCGGTTCAGCATTGACGTAACACGGGAACTCCAAGACACCACAGTTCCACGCCAAGAAGCATCCAACGCCTGGAACGGATCAGATTAGATCTGCCTTATCGCTAGTAGCAGGCTATTAAACCCAAGCATGTGGTCCTCGGGCAAGCCATGGTGTCATTGCACAGACCCGCGGACTTCCTCGTGGTACTGTCGCGTGGGTGTGTGCCTCTCGCCATGGCACCACTGCACTTGGCGAGGAATAAGTGTGCCAATAGCACGACACGGCAGCCCAGCCGCCTGCGCGCATCAGCAATGTTGCGACGCAGGGCCGATCAGATAAAGTAGTTCCCTCCGCCGTGCCGTTATCTTGGATGCATCTCGTATACTGCGACTTCGACATCCTCCTGCAGAATTGGACGCGATCATGCGCCATTCATTGAGACCTGGAGAGGCGACAAGCCCGACCGATGTTGTCCACAACGAGACTGATCGCGGGAACTTCGGCAAGGATATCGACTACAACCGCGAGCGGTCGCCAAGCGATGATACTTCGAGCGAGCACTCGGCTCAGGCTGGTGTGAAGCGCATTGAAGCTGTGAGCAAGGCGTGGACCAAGACTTCGCTCATCATCGCCTACGTCACGTACGTCATCAGGATCGCTTTCAATTAGAAAGGTTTCTCTGGACTAACCCCAGTCCAGACTTCTACTTATTGCCAACGTTACATCTCTCGAGATCCAGGTGACTAGTCTCTTGACGCCATATGCCACGAGTGCCTTTGCTCTGCATTCACTCGTCTCCACAATCTATGTAGTACAGGGTGTCGTAGCCGGTACGTTCCTCGTTCCGCCATACTCAGCGCAGCGACTAACTACGTCCAGCGGTCATCAAACCGCCAATGGGAAAGATTGCCGATGTCTTTGGACGTCTCGAATCATTTACCATTACCATATTCCTCTACACAATCGGGTATTGTATGCAAGCTGGATCCAATAATGTGCAAACTTTCGCAGGAGCCCAAATCTTCTGGGCCGCCGGTTTCAACGGTCTGGGAGTTTTGCAACAGATCTTCGTCGCCGATACTACGGATCTGCTCAATCGCGCTCTTTTCTCCACCTTGTTCGACGTTCCCTTTCTTTGGACTACATTTGCTGGAGCAGAAGTTGGAGAAGCGATCCTGAACAACACTACCTGGAGATGGGGATACGGTATCTGGGCTATCATCCTTCCGGTTTGCTTCATCCCACTGGCTGTTAGTCTTTTTATGAACCAGCGACGTGCAAAGAGCTTGGGTTTTGATGTCCCCAGTCCATTCCACGGGCACAATACACTCCAGGTCCTGAAGAACATCTGGATCGACATAGATGGATCTGGCCTGTTGTTGTTCGCGGCAGCCATAGCACTCATCTTGTTGCCACTTACACTGGCTCCAGGCGCAAGTGGTGGGTGGAGTAATGGAAGTATGATCGCCATGCTAGTCATTGGCGGCGTACTGCTTCTTGCGTTCCCACTGTGGGAGACGAGCAAGAAGTTGGCACCAAAGGCATTCTTTCCACCAAACCTCTTCAAAGAGAGGACGATCATTGCTGGTGTCTTGATCGCATTTTTCTACTTCAGTAAGCACCATGCACACCACACTATGGCTTAATGCTAACGAATGAAACAGTGGCATTTTACATGTCTGTCTTCCCATACTTTAGCTCTTACCTCCAGATTGTACAGGGCCAATCTCCTTCCACAGCCGGATACATCACACGAACCTTCACTTTCGCTTCAACCGTCTCATCAATCGTAGTGTCACTTCTCATAAAGTACACAGCGCACTACAAGTACTACACAACCTTGGGCGCAGCCATCTACCTGATGGGCATGGGCCTTATGTTGGCATACCGGACCGAAGACGCTTCAACTGGCACCCTCGTCGGCACGCAAATCGCAATCGGAATAGGCGGAGGCTTCTTGAACGTCCCTGTCCAACTCGCTGTCCAGGCCTCAGCCTCCCATCAACAGGTCGCGGCCGCAACAACAGTCTGGCTAACTATCCTCGAAGTCGGAGGCGCAGTAGGATCAGCAATCTCAGGCGCTATCTGGTCGACCTACATCCCCGCCAAACTGCAGCAGTACCTGCCCGCGGAGAACGTGGCGGATTATTCGACTATCTACGGCAGTCTCTTAGTCGCAGCAGACTATGCTACCTACCCAGCTGGATCCCCCGTCCGTATTGCTATCAACCGGGCCTACCAAGAGACGATGCGGTACCTACTCATTGGAGCTCTTTGCTGCGCAGCACCTATCGTGCCGTTGACGTTTTGTCTCAAGAACTACAAGTTGGATCAGATGGACCAGAAGGTTGTTGGCAATGTTATTGGTAGTGCAGAGAAGAGGGAGAAAGCGAAGAGTTGGCGATTTTGGAAGCGATAGGCACGTACGTGCTGGCATGTCGTTTTTCACAACGCGAGTATATTCAATGAATTGCCTTCGACTAGTCTGCTTCGTGAGTCCTAAAGAGCGAACATCGAAGAAGCGGAAACGCAACCAAGACCAAGGCATTCCGTGCCATGCATCGCACACATCTGATTACTGATTCCGCTCTTCTCATTGCCTCGGCGAACAACTCCGAATGTCAATGCCAAACTGTTTGAGTTGCGACTTCCACACGATTCAAAGCCAACTACCTCGGTAAGACCGCGAAGGTCAGCCAGCAAATTCCACAGTCAAAGTGTCCAATCTTCACAGTCCACAGACTCAAAAACACAATCGAATTGTTCGGCACTGGAGAAAGCGAAGTTTGCCCCCAGCCGCCCGCCGGCAGCCTCGCCAGGCCATTCCGACCGCACAGACCACGCGACAGGGCCGTGTTTCACGCTCCGCACCCGGGACCCTGGACCCTGAACCCGCGGCGTTGCCAAGAGCTGTAAGTTACGTTACTGAGACTTTAATGCGACTTGAGACTACAGACGTCGGTATCCTTTGTGGATTTCTTATGGCGACGAGAGTAAAACGCCCAAGGCGGGAAACGCGGATGCAATGTCAATGGGTGTTGGTGGAATGAGTCGTGCAGCGGCGGGATCCGAGCAACTGAGTTGGAAGTGAGACAACAGTGGACTCACCTCGCGAATCGTAGGAAAAAGGATGCTGTTGTGTTGGTGAGAAGGCATGTTGGAGCTGAGGTCTGATCAAATAGTACTTTATTGAAATCTTGCGACGTTTTATCTCATCTTCCATTGCCTTGTTCGTCCATCCATCCATCAATACCGTTATCCAAAACTCCTCATCTTCCGGTCCGCAGTACGCGTGATCCTGCTGATGCTTGCTGAAAAGAAAACTCGCGCTCGGAACATACAAGATCGAGCTTGTGACATGACTGTCGTGTATAACTCCTCCTCCCATGGCGCGTGATGTCTTGTGGAGGAAGAGCGTGCTAGCTGAAATGCAAAGTCGGGTATAGTGCTCAAACTTCGGTGATGGCGACCAAAGTCATCTTGGGTGCGTCCTCCTCCTCGACGACCTCATCGCGCTTGCGCTTCTCAGCAGGGGCGCCAGCGGCGGCAGAGTCCTTGGGAACGTTGACACCGGGGTTGACGAGAAGACCGACACCGGCGTTCTCAGTGCCCATCTCGACCTTGGGCATGTCCTTCTGGGCCTCCTTGGCGTAGCCGAGAGCAGCGTTGAAGCCAGCGAGGTCGCGCTTGATCCATTGCATGGCCTCCTCTACGGCGGCCATCTTGGGCTCGACGGGAGCACGCTTGCTGATGATGTCGTTGACGGCGCGGCGAAGGTTGGATCGTTTAGCTGCTTCTCCTTCAGCTGGTTGTTCTTGAGCTTGCTCGCCTTCAGCTGCGGGCTGTTCGGCGGCCGGTTGTTCTTGCTGACCTTGTGCTGCGCCCTCCCCACCGGCGTTGGCTGCGGCTCCCGAAGCGAGCGTAGACATCAACTCTGAAGCTGATTCTGTTGATCCTAGCGAGATCTCTCCATCACCGACTACCAGGGCAGGCGAGTAGGCACCCAAGTTGATGTTAAGGGGGACGGCAGCGACGGTGGCGACGAGCGCGAAGAGAACGTGTTGAGGAAGCATGTTGTCGGTTGGGTGGTTGGATCTTTCGATTAGGTGGTAAAGTAGTGGTGGATGATTGAGGTTCGATGAACGATTAGATGATCAAAAAATGTACTAAGTGATAGAAGTCGCCCGGCGACAGAAGTGAATACTAGTTGGTAGTGAAATGAAGTGAGTGACCGGACTGGAGAATAGAAGAAGTGGGTTTACTGTCTTCTTATACGCAAACCACAGAGTCTCCATAGTCTCCATAGTCGTGGTATCGCAGGCCCACCGTCGTTACCTGCCAAGATGAATTAACCATAACTGTCAAGGCATGAAACTTTCTTGAGGCTACGCCAAGTAGCGGCAAGCATACCACGGCAGAGCTTTGCCTTCGATGGCCATGCCAAGCTTCTCCCGCTGTTTGATGTTGGGTCAAAACTTTTGTGATGCGGAGCCAAGGTCGGATAAGCCTGGGGAGCGTCCTTAGTTACCGGGGCTAATGCATGGTTCTGGTACTGCAAGTGGGTCAGTGACCACGATCCTGAGCCGTGTGATTAGTCCAGGCCTCGACGTGGTCATGGATGAGTTCCTCTTCGAGTGCACGTGGAGAGAGCGATCTGCCTGAGGCACATGAGGTTAACTGCATGTTGAGTGAACGGTGCACTTGTCACACTGGGGCCCAATAATGGGTCTTGGAGTACTGATCTTCCGAACACTGACGCGTACCACACAAGTCCTTTCGACTGCTTGAAGTCTGGCCAAGCCCAAATCTAAAGCCCTGACAGTGGTAGAAGAAGACTGGGTAATGCTTAGAGCACCAAGCCTATAGCTTCTCGTTCACGCTGACTTGCCAAGTAGCGGCGGTATACAGGAGGTGGCCGAAGGGGCGAATCGAGGGGTTGTCTACCTCAATGAGCATCGATCGCCGGATTTTCAGGCGCGCACGAGCAAGATGCGACCCTTAGGCAGACCTCCTCCACAGCGTTCGTCTGGGGCAAAGGGGCCAGACTGACAGGGCTCGGCGATGAGCTTGGAAGGGGCAAGCCTTGATCGCAACACTTGGCGTCTTGAACAAGTGGAGTTGTAGATACCTGAGCGGAGCCAAGTGCTGGGGTCGCAGCCTTAGAGACGCGATGCGAGGTTTGAGATGTGGTCTGCTTTTAGGCTGTGGTTTCCAGATCGGCCTTAGTGCGCTACCCCGTGGCTGGAACTCCTACGGAGGTGCGACAAATCGATGTCTTGGCCGGCGGGGACGTCGCTGGATTCGCATCGTCTCCAGACTCATGCAGGAAGCACAGCGTCGGTCTCGGAACGCTGCTTGTCATGGTACTTGTCGTGAGGAACGGTGCGCGCGTGCAGCTGACGTGTGCTTGCTCGAGCGGGACTGTGCTGCAGCCCACAGCCTAGATGCGCTGGAGTCGATCGATATGTTCTTGGCTGTAATCTTACGCGCAGCTTGGCTTCTTCAGCGGCATGAAGACTGGACTCATGGTGAAGAGTGAACGATGAGGAAGACGTAGGGGCACGGAGGTTTGCTACTGTCGGCGTTGCTAATCCCGCTCCGCGATCTCCTGGGCACGCGTGGACGCGTCCAGAACTGCTACAGCCCCGACAACTACACACCCGCTCAACACCACGCGCAGAGTATCCCATATCTTGTTCGATCTATTATCGCGACTACGGGCGCGAAACAGCCAATATCACGTCGACTACGCTTGCTCGATGCGCGGTCAGCGGAAGTCGTTGGTCGCCCAGCTGTACCAAGCCACGTTACAGCTTCCGCCCGGACGGTAGCTTCCAGCCGCGTCGCGCGATGCAGACTGCCCGCCTGTCTGTTTGCTAGCTGGCAGCTACCCGCTCCCAAGCCGTCGCTGAGCTTGGTAATTGATCTTGTTAGCGTCAAGTCGCGCAGAAAAGTCTGAGGCAACAATGGCATTCTTGGTGCGGCAGCATATTCCTCCACAAACGCGAATTTCTGTCTCGACAGCACTCGCTCCGAACAACTAAGCTCTCTTCAGCTAGAAGCAGAAGCAAGCGTTTAGTTATGGATGCGAGTCCAGCGGTGTTCTCACAGACCCAACGCTCAAAGTTCGGTCGGGCAACTCGTTGATGGTTCGCGATGAACAACACAAACATACTCGGACTAGCCACACATGTTTGCATACCCGATTGTATGTCAAACGAACCTATTACGACTATACTCCATTCTATCACACCATGGTAGCCTTTGGTGGGGCGAACCACTTTGACCCACGACGGAAGAAAACTGGTTCAGCTTCTTGCCCCGCACCACAGCATTTTATCGTATCGCCAGCGTATATACAGCTTGCTACGAGGGCTGAGCTTGTCTCCTGGGAGTAAACCGGTGGCTAACAAAATCCAACTTTTTTTGCCGTCTTTCATCAATAACGGTTCGTTGGTGTAGTTGGTTATCACGTCAGTCTAACAAAGGCCCTCAAAAGCCTGTTAGTACACTGAAGGTCCGGAGTTCAAACCTCCGATGAATCATGATACTGGCGATTTGGTGTTACGTTACCGGTGTGGTATTGAGGGCTTCATAATACCCCTCTTTGATACCCACCCCTTTGGTGTTACCTTTGGAATTGGCCCCTCCAAAATCTTTGGTATTGATCCCAGGATCTAAAATCTTTGGAGTAGATCCTCTGGATCTAAAAGCTTTGGAATTTAGCACCTTCGAAACCGCCTCTTTTTTTTCGAACTCGCTGTCTCAAGGAGATGCTGATCACGATGCTGTTGGCGTATGCTTAAGGTTGTGGAGCTATTTTTGCCTCATACCCGCCACTATCGTAGTCTCCAGGACTGGAGGCTTTGCATATTTGCCTGGATAGAGGGCCAAGAATGCTCTCGCTGTCAGAATCCATCACCACTAAACTAGATAGCAATCCTTAGATGCGAGCGGTGCAATAACGCGAACAATCTTGTACTCGTAGCACAAAGCATACTACACGGCAAACTCCACGATCATGAGTATTGTACATCTCGGGATCTTAAGCGCGACGTCCTTGTTCGGCTCGGCACTCTTCACATGGAAATGTTTGCCGATCGTTCTATGTAGGTCTCTGAGCACAAAACTGGATAGATCGCAATCTGTGAGATTCTTTGCGAAAGACACGTTCACCTCTGTCTATCGGGTATCGAATAACAAAATGCAGTAATACGTCCGATCCACACGTATTACAGTATCCAAGGTAATCAAACATCTTTCTGCATATAGCAGACGTGCACTACCGATGTCGCCTACCTCCGACGGGCGGATATGTGCATCAAGGCAGAGCAGACATGTGTATTACCGCTGCGACCGCTGTGTTGGCAAACAACGTAGTCCGCACAAATCCCATCCGGTCCCCAGCTGGTCGAGTAGCACTCTCATTCCAACTCAGCTCAAGCTCGTATCAATACTGTCATTGCAAAGATCTTCAGCGTACTCGTGCGTCGCCGCCAGCTATTATGGCCACGCTCGACTATCTCAAGAAAGCCTTAGTGCGAAGCGCCAACATCAAACCTTCCGTCACCTCTTCCAGGGAGCCCTTGACCGACGAACAATATGCGGCAGGCTTCGAAACCTTCGTCCAAGGACCCAGTTGGGCGATCTACCGCGACTTCATCATCCCAGAACTATCCTACCTCCTAGCTCCTGCACACCAATCAGATAAGTTGATCTCGGTTCTGGAGATCGGCCCGGGCCCCAAGAGCATTCTCGGGCATCTACATAGAAGCCTGCGAAAGAGGATTGGGAAGTACACCGCTTTTGAACCCAATGCCTTGTATGCTCTGAAGCTGGGAAAGTGGTTGCAGGATCATGATAAGACGGATACAACCTCAAAAGCTCCGTTTCCTTGCTTGGAGAGTAATCCTGTCATCTACCGTACTCGTTTCGATCCGGATTGTGACACGCCGAGTGGTGCCGATATCGAGAAGTACGACATCGTTCTCTTTTGTCACAGCATGTACGGTATGAAGCCGCAAGACAGTTTCATCAAGCACGCGTTGAACATGCTCCTCGATGATGGAATCGTCGCAGTTTTCCGTCGTGAGGGTATTTTCCACATCGACGGCTTGGCCTGCCATCATTCGGCTTCCTATCCCACCGGTTTCGTCGGCGTAGCAGATAACGATGACGCACTGGATGTGTTCGCATCTTTCGTCGCTGGGTTCACCATGCAAGACACCGACGAAGAAAACGCTGTTCTAGCAAACTGGCAAAAGCTATGTCGTGATCTTGCCCGCCGTGATGACGACCATCCCGCAACCCTTCTGTTCTCCGCACCTGAAGTCATGTTGGTTTTCAATCACCACGCAGACAAAGTGGAGGAACTGGAGATGCGCGTGGGCCCGATACTAGAAGAGAACCCGGTGAAGAACCAACAAGCTCGTCTACAACGCCCCGCCGCTATCGTCAGGCCAGATAATATTGAGAAGGTGCAAGATTGCGTCCGGTGGGCACTCAGACACGGCCTTGGCTTGACTGTTGTCGGTGGAGGGCACAGCGCACATTGCCACAGATCCAATGTTGTGGCGATTGACATGAGTGCCTTCGACTCCGTACATATACTGAAAGAGGTTGAGGATAAAGACGACCAAGACATTGCCTCCAATTCACTTGTAGTCGCTGGGGTTGGATGCAAGACAGTCAATATCATCAGTAGGACTCTCGAGAAGGGCCTCACTGTACCTCTAGGATCTCGTCCAAGTGTTGGAGCCGGACTCTGGCTACAGGGTGGTATAGGCCATCTTACAAGGATGTACGGCCTCACTTGTGATAGCATCGTCGGCGCCATACTCATCAGTGTGGCTTCCGGAGAGATCTTTCATGTCGGTCGGGTGCCAAGCAAGCATGTTCCGAAAGAGGCCTGTCGTCCAGATAACGAGACTGATATCCTCTGGGCACTGAAAGGTGTAGGAACGAACTTTGGTATCGTACTCAGCGTAACACTCCACGCCTATTTCGCCCACAAGTTTGTTACGCAAAACTGGGTAGTTCCTCTGAGCGACAATGTCGAAGCCAAATGCAGACTTCGCGAGTTTGATGAGAAAGTCGCAAAAGGATGCAGCGAGTTCTGTTCCGCCGACGCATACCTGTACTGCGAGAATGGAGGACTCAAGCTTGGGATCACGACGTTCGCCCCTGCCGATGCATCTTACCCATCACCTATGACTATCATGTCCAAGCGCGAAGGCGACATATGGGGAACCAACAGCGACACCAAGATCATGGATGGCGTAGAAGCGTTCGATGCCGAGATGTACATGTCTAAGATGCATGGGGGACATGGCGACGGCAAGACGTCATCTTTCAAGCGTTGCGTATTCTTCAAGGACATTGGAATGTCGAAAATCGCTCAACGCCTAGTCTCAGCGGTCGAGTCTCGTCCGTCGCCGTTCTGTTACCTCCATCTGCTGCATGGTGGTGGGAAGGCTGGCGAGGTCGCACCCGATGCGACTGCGTTCGGGTGTCGAGACTGGGATTTCGCTTGCGTCATCACCGGGGTGTGGCCTCGGGATGAGGATGGCAGTCGCGTTGCGCATGCTTCGGTGCAATGGGTGTACGACGTAGTCGACAGCTTGCTGCCGTTAAGCAGGGGCACGTACGGAGCGGACCTTGGACCTGACCCCCGAGATGCAGTGCTGGCGGAGAAGGCGTTCGGGCCGAATACCGTGCGCCTCGGTCGTCTCAAACGCCTGATGGATCCACGGAACGTGTTGGCGTGGGCCTGTCCGTTGCCGAAGCCCCCGTTGCCCAAACTCATCATTCTTGTTACCGGCGAACACGGCGCCGGCAAGGACTACTGTGCCGGCGAATGGGTCGCCGTGTTCTCTGAACTTAACGGCAACGCTTCTTCTTCAACGCATGGTCTTCGCGCGCAAGCTATACGCATCAGCGACGTCACGAAACGCGAGTTCGCCGACGCGACTGGTAACGACTTCCGCCGCCTTCTAGACGATCGGGCATATAAGGAGCAACACCGTTCAGCGCTGACAGCCTTCTACGAGAAACAAATCCAGGAACGACCCCGACTACCGGAAGAACACTTTCTTGAAGTTGTCCACAATGCGGCAGGCGCGGATGTCGATGTTTTGTTCATCACGGGGATGAGGGATGAGGCACCTGTCGCATCATTCTCCCATCTAGTGGCGGCGAGCAGAGTGATCGAAGTCCATGTTGATACCAGCGAAGCCTCACGGGTTGCTCGTGGGGTACGCACCGAGAAGACGACTGACTCTGCAGCTCCGCGACATCGTCCAAATCCGACCTTCGTCAACGACACACCAGGAAACGGCGCGGTACGAGAGTTTGCCGAGGCCTCCATACTTCCCTTCTTGCATAATGACCTACAACCACTGGCCGATATGGTACGCTCAATCCCAAACTTCCCCAAGCCGGGCATCCGGTTCCGACATGTACTCGGAATCTCGCAGCAGCCAGGTGGCCTTGCTCTTTGCGCATCACTACTACAAAGTCACTTCACTGGATGCTGGGCCAACGTCGATGCCATTGTCTGTTGCGAGGTGGGCGGTCTCGTCTTTGCACCGGCATTAGCATCGCTGGTAGGCGTGCCTCTCGTGCCCATTCGCGAGGCTGGCAAGCTTCCGCCACCTACCATCTCGGCCACGAAAAACGCATCGTATATCTCTTCCCAAGCTCCTAACCAAGCAAAGATTGGAAAGCGCATCGAGATAGAGCGAAACGCGATTATCGGCTCTGACTCGGTCGTAGTCGTGGACGATGTATTGTCGACGGGCGAGACTCTTTGCGCGGTGCTACATCTACTGAAAAAGGCTGGTGTGAAGAGTATCGCAGTCATGGTAGTTGCGGAGTTTCCACTCCATCGTGGGCGTAAACTATTGTACGATCGTGGACACGGTATGGTGGATGTGCAGAGTTTGCTTGTCTCGGGAGGTGACTAGGCGGTGTAAGACGGCTTTGCTATCGAAACGATTAAGGCATACACTGAATGAGATAGCATAAAGTCACAGACCATTCGAATCCCAACCTCATCTCATATGTTCTGCTTGTTCAATGTTTGCCAGCCCCGTAGAGCTGATTACGTCAAGGCAGAAGTCACCTTCGAGGCATCCTGATCATGACAATATTGATACAAACGAGATTCTCATTACTGCTATTAGCTATCTGAAACTACACTACAGTAAGAGTACTGCTACCACTGCCCTTGGCTGCCCGACTCGACCTCGACATCTTAGTATAAGCTGCCCCTTCACTTTCGGATTCCAGGAAGTGGGATCGCCAGCTCCACGATGTTGTGGCTTTCAGTGGAGCATGCTCCATCATCCAGGGTACTTTGGAGGACAATGGTTTTCAGGCTTGGGACCACCCTCGTCCTTAGTACACCCTATCGGATCCCGTCGCGGTGTACATTTTACATTTTGCTCATCCCATGTCTTTCCATCGTTTTTCGGATCATAGTAGAAGCATCCGAGGGAATAACAGTCGACGAAGGGGGTAACTCGGTCTGCTCTCCATCCGTGCATCTTGGCGATTTCTTCATTGAAACCATTGCGGAATGGTTGGGTCGCGTATTCTGCAACGCCCTTGTCCGATTTACCATCACATTCGTAGGTCCAATCGGAAGTTTTGTGATCCCATTCCAGTTTGATCATGAGAACCATCTGAACTGGGCCTCCGTTGGTCGGGTATACTATCAACGCCTCGGCCGGGACGGAGCAAAAGAACAAGTCTCTGTCACCACCGCTGTTGTCTTTGAAATCGCCGATTCTGAAGCAGTTCCGTGGTACTTCAGTCATCTTCTGGTACACGCTAGCCATCATACGGTACTATACATGTGTTAGCCCTTGAACATGACCACTTAGAGTACAGCAACGCTTACTCCCAAGTCCTGGAGATCTGGTAAATCCGGATTGAAGTACTCGTGCTCAATCTCGAGAACGAGCGCCGAGTCTGTTCGATAATTGTTGTCTCCATCCCGGAAAACCGCATTGCGAATAGAGCAGTCGTCTATGGTAGATCCTTTTTTGCACTTCTTGAGGATTGAGTAGATGCGTTCATACATCCGTCCCTGTTGGAAAGTTCCAGCGTGGGTAGCTCCCTTGCCGAGGCGAACATCAACACGATACCAGCCTTTGAGATGCTTCCACTGTTCCTCGACATCGGCAACGTGAACGTCGGAGCTGGCAGTCGACAATGTTGTGTTTGTGCTAGTGAAGCCATGGAGCTCGGCGAGCAAATCGCCTTCGGAGGGGGTATCTTCTGATGATACCTGGGAACTAGCTGGGGCGGGAGAAGTACCGACAATCGATGGTCCTTGGGGAATTCCTTGAACGGAGGAGGAGACTGCTCTCCAACGTCAGTAGAGCGATTGCGGGCTTATCGACTGGTTTCTCACTCACCTAGGCTGTCGGCGTCGATGGAGTCCGGGGCTGCGAGAGAAAGCGCGAGAAGCGCAAGGAAGGCGCAGAAGAGGGAGAAGGTGCACCTCATGTTGGCCGTGGTTGATTGCGCTGATTCTCGGGTTGCTGTTGGAGGTGGAAGCGTGGCAGGGCGTTGATGAGGGCAGGGGCAGGCGAAATGATATAGTGCGCAGGCGCCAGTCTGACATGGAAGTGGGCCCAGCTGCCTGAAGGCGACGGAGTTTGTGCGGTGAGTGAGCGGGTGAGAAGGGAAGGAGTAGAGCAGTAGCGTGTTGTTGTGCGATTGGCGCGGCCGCGACTGGGAGTGAAAGGGCAGGCGCAGAAGGGTTTACTACGCTCATCTCATGACAGCTTGACAAACCTAGACTTCATATAGTCCAGTTAGTGAGACATTGTAGATGGGAGACAACAGGTCGGTGACAGAAACAACAGTTGTCTCCGCGGTCATCCTCTATGTCATTTGGTGGCATTCCGATGGACGGGCTATTCTTCTCCAGTGCCATCCGGAAGAATGCGTATTGTTTGCAAGAGATAAACGCAAAGATGGCTGTGAGGCGACTTCAGCAATGTCAGTCTATCGAGGTAGTCGAGAGTCGACAATGCTCTGGTGTTGGAGAGTCAGCGAGTGTTGGGCGAGTTCCGCTTATGTCATCTCCCATCAAGCCTCGGCCTAACCTCCGATGCCCATCTTCTCCTCTCTTGCGAAGCTCACCAATCGCGTCCAGTGACTCCCAGGGATGCGCAGCGGACTATCCGTCATGTCATACCCGGCGGGGAAGCCGTTGTACTCTTCCACTGCATAGATTGCTAACCTACCGCACTGACCATGCCTACAGCTCGCCTTCTTCCTTCGTCACTTGTGCAGGTCGCAGGGTCATTCACACGGCGCCCCCAATGGCTCTACCCACGACGTATTACTCGGGCGCTCACAACATCGTCCAAGGACCTGCACGCGTCCGTTGCGGCAGGCACGCGGGTCGATCACGCCGAAAGCAATGACAACCAGACAGTAGCAGCTATGGGCCGGACCAAGTCGGGCAAGACCCTCAAAGTCCGCAAGTACCCAGCCTTTGAACGCCTCGAAGACGAACGCCTCTACCGTAAACAGCATCTCGCGGCTGCCTATCGCATCTTCGCCTCGCGCGGGTTCGACGAAGGTGTCGCCGGCCATATCAGCGTGCGCGACCCAATACTCACCGACCATTTCTGGCTCAACCCATTGTCGGCGCATTTCTCCCTGATACGCGTGTCGGATCTGATACTGGTGAACGAGGAAGGCGAGGTGGTGCACGGCGACCAGCCCATCAATGCGGCGGCTTTTGCCATTCACAGCGCCATACACAGGCGACGGCCAGACGTACATGCAGCCTGTCATGCGCATAGCGTACATGGCAAGGCCTTTAGCGCCTTTGGTAGGGAACTGGACATGATCACACAGGACAGCATCCGCTTTTACAAGAGCCACGGCGTATACAACCAGTTTGGCGGAGTCGTGCTGGCCAGCGAAGAGGGTGAGAGGATTGCGGATGCCTTAGGTATGACCCTGTCTACATTCATGCTTTACGCTACTGATCACTTGCACAGGTGACGGCAAAGCAGCTATCCTCCAAAACCACGGCATCCTCACCGTGGGCAAGTCCGTCGACGAAGCAGCCTTCTGGTTCCTCTCCCTCGACAAGACGTGTCAAGCACAACTCCTTGTAGATGCAGCGGCCGCTGGAAGTGGATACAAGCCCAAGATCATACCGGAAAGCGAGGCTGCCGAGACATATAAGCAGGTTGGGACGCCTGAGAAGGGATGGCTGGCATTCCAGAGCTACTACGACGAAGTACTTGCCAAGACTGGAGGCAATTTTCTGGACTGATTTAAGCATCCTATCGCTCAGCGAGGCCAGAACAGCCAAAATGAAATGCGAGACCTGTGGCAATTGGTGGAGGCCCGGGTTGGCGCACGCGACGCGTTCGATTTAGTCTTAATAAGGCAAGCGTCAGTCGAGTCGACGAAAGTCGGCCTGTCTTCCGTTCGATAGCCATGTCTAATCAGCATCATTGTCACACTCAGTGGATACTCACCTCTTCGTAGCTATGGCCGCTTGGAGTTTGTACGCATACTTACTAACCCTGTGACATGTTCTGCGATCCTTGGGGCCTAAATTCAAATGTTGAAGCCATGAACACTACACACCAGCAGCGCATATTGCACTATCCACCACTCCCACTATTGAACGTCGATTTCGGCATCAGTGAGGCTTAGCCGAGCATTCTGAATACAAAAAAACATGTCGTTATTCAGTGTGGACAGAATTTCTTCATTGTCATTGCGTCTAACATGTTGCACCAACAACTTTGGAACTTCGTGGACGCGACCCTTTCACTTCTGCACAAGTCTTGTCCCGCTACGTCATTTTATTGCTACCTTTCTACATGCAGCATTCTTGTTTGTCTCCCGAACTCACGTCGCTTACCGCCAATCCATCGTTATGGACACAGCAAGCCAGGCCACACGCACACTCGGATCGGGATCAGCCTTCCCTTTATCTCGCCCTAGTACAATGGCGCCTAAGAAGAAGCTCAAACCGACACCGGAAGCCGCGCCAGACACGCCGGTCGAGCGAAGTCGCTCTGTCTATGGTGACAGCCACGCAGCGACTGAGAAAGCCATGCTATCCGCACATGCCCACCACCTATGGAACGCTGGCGCGATCGACGAGCACATGGTCGCGGAGCTGTCGAAAGTCAACCCCAAATCCGACGTTCACAGCGTCAGGTATACAACAGACTACCTCGCAGCTCATCCAGACTACACTGGCGAGGACGCCGACGAGATACCAGCTATGCAGACTGCTATGAAACACCGGAGAAGCAGAGACGAGGCACAAAATAGGGTTTTGGAAGACTACCGGGCGGGACGCATCGATCTCTGGGGTCACCCAACTGGACATCAGGTCGATGATAACGGCAGGAACTTACTGTCGCATACTCAAGGTACCCAACGACAGTGTGAGATGCAAGGAGCATACAGGAACCGCGGTCTAGCTATGCGTGAGGAAGACTGCATCGGCAATGCCAGCGAAGGAAATGACAGTTCATCCGACAGTTCTGGACCTCTCACAATCACAGGACACGGACGCCGTACCGATCATCACCAGAAGGGAAACACACAAGCATTTGTAGCCAACGCTTCGAAGCACTTCGCGAATTCACCTATCAGAGAAACTCTGCCAACTGCAACCCTACCATCATTCGAGCAACGAATAGCGCAATTCCGATACACTCCGGATCTCCTACCCTCTGCCGACCCGTCTACAGCAACACCCTTTAGCAGCCCCACGCGCAAGTGCCCAAGCCGAGAAGAGCCCGATCTGCATTCTGGGATTGCACCCAACCGAGCGATCTTGATCTCCATATCCCCTTCACGATTGTCGACCCAGCGCTCAATGCAAGCTCGCACAGTTGTACCACTACAGCCTCTACACGGTAACTCAGACTACACCGATCTCGATTACTACAGAGCAGCAGCGCTCTGCCGAAAGCGCGGTATACCGAGTGGTGGGAACGTGCATGAAGTGCGAAACCGCCTTGTACGTGACGATGCTGCCGTGAGCGAAGGACTTCCGCGTGTGATGGCGTCGTCGATATATCGTAAGGCGTACAAGACTGCGGCCCCAGGTGAAGAGGAGATCGGCCATTGATGGGTAGCGTGGCCATAGGTTTCAGGATTTGCGCGACGATGTCGACCAGGATCTGCGCGACGATGTCGACTCTAGTTTCCAGCGCTGAATTAGTGGCAATGAAACTCTACAAGATCACTTTACTCATTCGTGTTCCTTCTCACCAACTCATTCTCCAGCTCTTCCCTCTCATCAAGAGTCAAATCACTCTTCGCTTTGCCGATTTTAACACCTAAGAACATGATGATCAAGCCCGCGCCAGAAAGCGCAGTCGCAAGCCAAAAGGCTACCTTGTAACTCCCCCTTCTTCCTCTCTCCTCCGTTTCGCTGACCGCTAGATCTGCAAATGAAAGGAAGACCGCGATACCCAAAAACAGTAATGAGTTCATGAAAGATCCCGCTAGCCCTTGACGCGCTTTTGGTAGCGACGTTGTGATAAAGATGTTGGCGACGTTGTAGGTGATGTCGATACCGAGTGTAGCGCAGATCATAGCGGGGAAGATGTAGGCCCAGTAACTGAAGTCGACAGGGAGAATCGCGAAAAGAAGCGTCGATAGGATGTACGCGGTACCGCTGATGAGAAGGAGGATGCGGCCTGGGAGGAGGTGCAGAATCAACCCACCAACGGTCGCTAAAATCAGTCCGCCAACGCACATGGGTGTAAACCATGCGGCGGTAAGCAGCGGACTGGCGCCGGCAACCTCTTCGATATAGAAGCTCGCATAGAAGATGAAGATTCCGAAGGTGCCGTACTGGAAGAACAGCGCAAGCGCGAGTGGCTTCATACCCTTGACACGGAATAGGTCAGGGGGTAGGAGAGGCTGTTCAGCGACCCAGCCTTCGATGTAAACGAATGCACCCAGGAAGATCCAACCGATGACAAAGGTGACGGGTATATAAGGTGTCGCCCATCCTTGTGGTGCATGGCTTCCATCCGTGAGTGCAAAGACCACTAGGACCAAACCTGGCACTACAGTTGCTGTGCCCCACCAATCCATCTTCACCCCCTTTCCTTCCTGTTTCGCCTTCTCTTTCTCTTCTCTCGGGTTGGGAATGCAAAGGTACGACGCAACGGCCACGATAGCGAGGATGGTCGATCCTATCCAGAAGAACCAGCCCCAACTCATGAACTGTGCAGCGACACCAGCGAAAAAGATGCCAGTAAAGAAGCCAACTGGCGCAAAAGCACCGTACAAGCTGAAGACGAGGTTCTTGCGCGGCCCAGGACGGTAGATAGAACCCAGCAGCATGATACCGCTCGGCAAGAAGGCCGCAGGACCGAAACCCTGCAGCGCTCGACATACGATAAGCATGACATAGTTTTGTGAGAAGCCGGCTATGATCGACCAGATCAAGAACCAAGCCAACCCGATGTTGAAGACAATGTATCCTCCAAACATATCAGAAAGCCGGCCGAAAGGCAGTAGGAAAGCTCCTGTTACAAGCGAGAAGACGGAGGCTGGCCATGTTTGCGCGTTGGATGGGATATCGAGGGCGGAGGTCAGGTCGGGGAGCAGGATGTTGAAGCCGGAGATCATGTACTCGGCTACAAACATGGAGCCTAGAAGGGCGAAGCAGAAACCTAGTTCGTGAGGGAGGGAGCGGAAGGCTGAGGGGCGTTCGCGGCCGAGTCGCTCGATGTCCGATGGGCTGTATGAGCCGCCATGTTGTGGTGGGCTTCCTTCTTCGGCCTTTTCTAATATGGGGGCTGAATTGTCGGATGGAATTGCGTCGCTTGGGGTATGTGAGGTAGTCTCCATCGGGTCGTTGGACATGGTAGTGGTTCCCGTGACGGGCTGGCTGGTATTAGGTGTAGTGAAAGTTATGATAAAGCCATCTAGATGTTTTGTCCTATGAGTCGATATGGCAAAAACTTTGAAGACGACCCAATTCCATCACAGTCTCATTCTTTCTATATGCTGTTTCCGGACTCCGAAATGACCGCGGACATTGTTGCTATGTGTAATGGAAGACATTTACTCGGGTGCTGAGCCTCAGAGCATACAGCCAAAGGCAAATCCTAGCGGTGACTGTGACGTCTGAGCATAAAGCCGTCACGATGTGGACCGTCGATGCAAAGATTGAGTCTTGGCTGCTGCATCGAGCCTAGACGGATCTATCGAGGTCTGGGGCGAACGGCAAGTCAAGCGAACCATGCGCGCAATTCCCCTCCTAAACCCGTCTTTGTCAGCGCCGGGAGACATGCGATTTGCTTGCTTCATCCTCGGGCTGCGCACTCGGTCAACATCGGTTTCTGTAGCTGCAGTCCGACAGATGTGACGAAATCCTGCATCCACATCAGTCTTGAGGGCGTTAGTAACCCAGTGAACCCGACCCTTCGACCGCCACAAGCAACGCGAAAGATCTCCACCCCACCAAACCTCAAGCACCTCAATACAGTCAACCGTCTACACATCTCGCATGGCGACCATCCAATGAGCGTGACGCCCTTCAATCTTCCGACCAAAGCGTGCCACAATTGCCGGAAGCGACGATGGAGGTGCGACCGGTCGCTGCCAAGCTGCCAGAAATGTTTGTCAGCCGGAACGGAATGTCTGGGTTATGGCAAGTTGTTTGTGTGGAATCGCGGGGTTGCGAGCCGGGGCAAGATGATGGGAAAGGGGTATGAGGAGAAGATGGAGCACGATGCTGGTGGTGCTGCAGCTGCGACGGAAGGGGCAGCCAAGACTCACGACATGCCGCCGAGGTTGGTGTGGGAGCACGAGGGCTCATCGCAACAACACCAAGTACCGGAGGCCGAATATGAAATCGTGCCCGCAGGATCGGTACCGGAATTTGCGCGCATGTCCGCGCAGGAACAAGATCAGACCATGGCCATGACTGCTGGCGTGCACCGACAGATGACAGACCCTTTGGTTAATGATCTCGATCGCAACTCGCGATACTACCTCTACCACTTCGCAACACAGCTGTGCGAAGTCATGGTTGTGTACGATGAGCCTGGACAGAATCCCATCCGCGACCTCATCCCCGCGACCTCTGCCTACCCGCTGCTCTTGCAGATCATTGTCGCAAACTCGGCGTTTCACGTCTTCAACATTACGCGCAACCCCATGGGCCAGTCAGCTTACCAAGGCGAGCGCAGTCCGACAGTAATGGCATATTACCAAGCTGTGAGCCGGTTTGGAGGTCCGTTGAAGTCGTCCTATAGAGACGCACTCGTGGCGAAGCAGCAAGCGCTCTCCTTACTTGCAAAGAGCGTGACTTGTGTGAATACCTCGAATATTGACCTCATATTGATCACTATCCTGCTGTTTGTCAACTATGCTCTGGTAGAGTCGGGCAGAGATAAGTGGAAAGTGCACATGGACGGTGCGCTGAAGCTCATCAAACTGCTGGGTGAGCCGGAGTATATACAACGGCCGATGAGTAGGCTTCGCCAGACGATTCTTTCGGACTTTCTTGTATTCCATATCCTCGGATCGACTTTCAGCTTCACGACGCTTCCCGCATTGATCCCGGAGACCATCGAGTTGGACCCGATTCTTCGTTACGCGGAAACAAATAACTACCTCTCTTGTCCTGGGCCGTTGTTGCGTGTAATGCTCGAATCCTTCGCCTTGCCCGATAGTCATGGGTCGCCTTCTGAGACCACCACGCCCATTTATCTCCAAGAGCAGGTGGGCGTACTTCTGCAGCGCGCGCTCGACTTCGATCCTATCGCATGGTCTTTTGAGTTCGAGCGTGCATCGCCATTCGACGATATACAGAAACGGATTCGAATAGCGTCGGCACATCGATCAGCAGTCTGCATCTATCTCGCTCGCGTACTACCTTCCACAAACCCTCTTCTCGACCCAGCAAGTGGCACAGCCCTCGTCAGCCTCACCGCTCTCGCCGATGACGTCGTCAATCATATTTCGCATCTTGAGCCTGGAGATGCACTCTTCAAATCAATCTGTTGGCCATTATTCCTTGCTGGTGCCGAGTCGGAGGACCCTAGTCAGCGCGAGTGGATCATGAACACACTGGATGAACTTTATGGTCAGATGTTCTGGGGCTATCTTCACACGTCCAAGCGCGTGTTGGAGGCTATTTGGCGTTTCAAGGACTCAGCTGGACCTGGTGCCGGCAACTGTTGGGTGGAAGAGGTTAAAGATCTGGGCAATGACATCTTGATCGCTTGAGTACGTGCAGCGGCCAAAGACAGAGTATGAAGGTGCGAAACAACAAAATTGAACGTCCGAACGGGGATCTATGTGCCCGCAACGGATTACCAGCATGCAGGCGGAACGTTACCTGGGTGGTAGTTACACTACATTGCAGACCCAGCTCCTTGGGTGTACCTTCCGTGACACTCACATCCCACGCATCGGTCGGACCTCCATTGCGAAAAAGTAATCTACTGCTGCAATTCCACAGACCATTCCTAGTCAAGATCGATGGGTGCGATGGCAGGCACCACCTAGTCTAGTCTGGTCGATCCCCGGGTGGTCGGTAGCGGGGTATCCGTCACGGGTACCTCAAGCTGCGTGCACCGTGTTATACAAGCACTTGGCTTCTCGAAACATGCAATGCGCATCGCCCAGGTTGTCTTACCACCTTTTTCGAGTTCTGGGTCGCATATTCGCGTTACTTCAAAGCCCAATTTTGTGCTTCGAGCTGCTCCGACGCTAAGACCTTCAAAGTACTGCTCTCGTGCGAAACTCCATCATGCGCACATGGCGTGCCATAGGAAATCAACTCGGATGGGTCGTATATGCGCTCTGCATGGTACATTCGACCCGCTTCTCTTTCGCCAATCAGTTATCAGCACCTCTGGATGCGCACCAGCTTGATGGAAAGCAGGTACCGTTGCTCGCTCAGAGGTAAGACCACATGGATCTTCTTTTTGAGAATAGGCGCAGCCTCCGCCTTTCGCGGCTTACCCTGTGTATGCTCGCTCTTGCAAGTACATTAGCGCATGCGGGTGTCGCCATTCTCGGACTTCGACGGAGGGTACTTGCAAGCCCCGCCCATCTTGGCTTACTATTCAAACGTTGTTCATAGCCTGAACATCGTCTGGAATATTGTTTTGTATCATCGCTTTCGCGTAGCCTCAAGGTGTACGGCTTCTAAAGTCCGCATTCGCCATGCTTTCCACACCCTTCCTCCATCTGCTCCTTCCCAGCCTCATGTTCATTACTAAAGCATCTGCGCAAAGCAACAGCAACGACGTATTCGATCCCAAGGGGCGCACAGAACTCGCGCTTGAAGCTCTACAATTGTGGTATAACACAACTACCGGCCTATGGGAGTCGACTGGGTGGTGGAATGGTGCGAATATCATGACAATGATTGGCGACTACGCGAAATCAGATACTGAAGACGAAGAATTGCAGGACCTGGCAAGCAATGTCTTTGCGACTGCGTTGCTAAAGGCGCCGATCAAAAATCCAGACGCGAGTATTGATGAGCTATGTGCTTATAGCACAACGCCAACTGTCGGCAACACGACTTGCCATCAGACTGCGTACACGAAGATACTCGATCCGGATACCAACGAGCCTCACACATTCTATCCGCTTGGCTGGTACGATAATGGGGGGCCCTATTCCACCAGGCCAGATCCGCACGACTGGCTAGACGGCTACTACGACGATGACCTCTGGTGGGCGTTAGCCTGGATCAATGCATACGACGTCACTGCCGACCCCGCTTATCTCACCCTCGCGGAAGGCATATTCCTCGCTGTATCGCGCACCTGGGGTACTTACTGCTCTTATGGCGGTATCTACTGGAATTGGGAAAGGGACTACGTAAACGCGATCGCTAATGAGCTCTTCTTCAGTACAGCTGCGCATCTGGCCAACCGCGTCCACGACGATAAAAATAAGACCCTGTATTTGTATTGGGCGGAGAAAAGTCTGAATTGGTTCGTTGGAAGTGGTATGATCAACGAGCATGGTACAATCAACGATGGACTGACGGAGGATTGTGCCAACAACAACAAAACTGTTTGGTCATATAACCAGGGTGTAATCTTGGGAGGTCTTGTCGAACTTTACCAAGCTTCAACCTCACCTCACTCTACATACCTTGTTCTCGCATCGGAAATCGCGAATGCGGCACTTGTCGCGCTTTCGGACGAAAATGGCGTTCTACACGACGAATGCGAGCCTAACTGTGGTGCCGATGGCGCTCAGTTCAAGGGCATCTTCATGCGTAATCTGGTCAAACTTCATACTGTGGCACCGGAAAAGGTGTTAGCAAACGCTATCCACGTGAATGCGGCGTCTATTTGGGAACGGGATAGAGCGGTGACGGTTGACGGTTTACCTGTATTCAGCGTGAACTGGCGAGGGCCATGGGTCACTCCGGCGAATGCAAGCACGCATAGCTCGGCGATGGATGCACTTGTCGCTGATCTGGTCGTCGACTGAAGATCCAGGGTGAAGAACGTAGTGGAAGAAAGCGACTTATATAATTCATCTTCATTGCTAGCGCGATACTATGTTCTTGCGCGGACTGACCCATCGCTTTCAGCGCATGGTCATACATCTAAGTCCAGCCCCACTACTGCGAAACGTCCTCGATCTTAATGGCGCCCGTACCGTTCAAGAAATCCATCTTTCCAACATCAACGCCCTTCATCCTCAGTATGTCATACGCAGTCACGATGTGGAACCTACAAACATCAGCAAAACCTCATCACGAGCCTGAACCCTCAAGCGAATCTTCACTTACCACATGTTCGGATGCGCAAACTTTGTGACATAATCCAGCGCTGGCAGCCTCATCTGCTTGACACCGCCAAACTTGACGACAACCTCGTCATCATGCTTACCCTCGAAGTCCTTCTCCGAGAAGCCCTCAAGGTACTTGATGGTTTTCTCAACGCGAGCCAGTAACTCGGGGAAGGTCTGCTCCTCGTCGGGCAGAGTCATGCCTTCCAAGGCGGGGTTCACGCGAGAAGGAATGAACTTGGCGGCGTCGGTGAAACGGTAGACCTGGTAGCGGAAGTCCTTCATGTCTGGGTGGATAGACGCAGTGAGGAAGTCATTGGGGTCGGTGGCTTTGGCGTGCTCGTAGCCCTTGTTGATGAAGAAGTGTGCGTTCTTGAGGCCCGTGATGACGGGAGCAATGGCGACCTTGTGGAATGAGAGAGCCATGTTGGGTGGTAGTTTGTAAATTGAAGGAAGTGTTGAAAGGGCGAGGATAGTGGCAGTTTCAGTTTCTTGTTGATGAAGTTGATTGATGCTAGTAATTGCCCTGGCGGGGTAGTCGACTATTTATGTTCCACTTCTGTCTATCTCGCACCTTCTCTCAGTACACTGAACATCAAGCTCACTACGCTCCACTTGGCATCAGCACTCCACCGTTCATCCCAAAGCGGACCAGATCCAACTCTGATGGTTACACGACTGGCGGTGATTACGGCCTGGATTACAAAGCGGGTGGGTTGCAATCTGGTGGAGTCCCGTGATTGACCAATCAGATCATGACGCGATTGACCGGACCCACTTTCGCGCCGTCGGCCGCGAGGCATCGACACGCGAGATGCGCGACTGCGGTGAGACTACACGCGACGCAGAACCACTACGTTCGATATGCGCCCTTTTCTTGGGCTATTGCCTTGGTTCAGATATATGAGTGTGCTGACAAAAGTCGCAGAGTTCCGCGCGGTTTGGTCCCTGGGAAGGCTCATCTAATCGTGCCCTGCATACCCTGACCGCTGGCGTTGCGCCCTTTACAACGCCTCCAACGAAGTTCGAACGGACGAGCATTCGGCCACTCTCTGAATACGACTACTGACCCACTGGGTAATGAGCTTTCCTGTTACACTTCCTCCGCCGATGTGCACGAGCTTGGATGGCACTCGGGCATTTCGAGATCTCCGGTCAACTCGTCTGGAAACTTGAGCATGCAACATGCGGTCAGCTTCTGATGTGTTATCCGAACTCTAAGATCCGTCGCCCATGGTCCACAGAGTCGAGTTCGAGCGTGGTAGCTCTAATGAAAGACTGCTGCTTCAGTATGACAACCAACTCTTTTGGTCATCAAGCAACGAATCCCACCTAGTTGTCGGAACGCAGGATAGTTCAACATCGATTGTTGCAACCAAAGCTACAACAGAGTCGACCATCCTCACTTGTGATGGCATGGAAAGTGCACCGCTTGATGGCAGGTTTTACTTTGTTGACCAATTGCCTTAGTTAAGCACAGGACGAAGTAGATTGTTCATGCTGATCTTGGATTAATAGTGGGAACTATCGAGCTTTGCCTTTGCCTTTCATCGCAATGCGGTCTAGACTCATCAGCTCGATATTGGTTGTATATCATGGAAGTGCTTGCTGGGGAGAAACAGACGACAACGCAAGCATTGAACGGTTTGCTTGACGTAAACATGAAAGCGAAATTTCTGTATATGAGGACAGGCTTACTCCGAAAGCCCGTACATCCAAGACACAGTGTTCACTTCTGCAACCCGCTACACACTGGTCGAGATCACACATCCGTCACGCCTACACTGCGACAGTCATGCCTCTGTCAGATGGGTACAAAGCCGAATACAAAGCCGCAATCACTTCGGGCAAAGAGCCATGTCGGAGATGCGGTAAGTTTCACAAAACGAATGCCTGTAAAGCTGATCTGAACGACTGCTACAACATGGCCATCTGCCGCTTGGACGAAAAGGGAACCGGTACACCCGATGAGCTCCGTGCAGAAGCTGAACAAGTATGGGCAGCCACAAAAGAAGAACTAAAGATATCCGAAGCAGCAAAGCCGAAAGCTCCAGGGGCTGGCCGCAAGATAATCGTGAGCAAGGATTTTGGCACGATGATACCACTTACACCAGCGAAGGATGAAGCTATCCAGGAAGTGGACCCACCCCGGGGAGGAATCTGTATACCGAAGGACGTGATCGATGAGACTGACACTCCAAACTCCGTTCACGTTACGAGCAACTATGTCCGTGTCACCAGAATTCCTCAAAAGCTATATGTCTATACACTGGACTTCTGGCGGCCAGATTCCGGAATCCAGGGCGGTAAAACCTATTACACCAAGCGTCGGGAAATTCACGGTGCCTTTCAAGCTATGATCAAAGCCGGAGTCCTCGATTTCGGCGCCGATGTCACATGGGCGTCCGATTCCAAGGACCTTTGGTGTACTGTAGCTCTACCAGCATGCCCGGCGGTGCCTGGCATCACTTTCTCAACCGACAAGTTCCGTTATCGACAGGTTGATGGCAAAGAGGCAGATGACTTCCAGGCAACAGTGTCCTTCTCTCTCGTATTAGACGACATTCCAGGCAAACTTACAACTCAGGATCTGGCCAACCTATCGGATTACATTCGTGCGCTCAACGCCATTGTTGCCAAATCAGTACACGAGACCGCTGAAGCTGATCAGATACATCTCACTCAGATCGGAGCCAACAAGTTCTACCTCAACGGCGCCTGGACCGATATCAAGGGGCTGCGAGCTGTTCGCGGGTACTTCACGTCGATCAGGCCTGGCCGAACCTCTACACTTCTCAACGTCAACACTGCTACATCTGCCTTCCTACCCCCGGGGAACGTATCTAACCTACTGCGACAGAGTAATGTACTGCCAATCAAAACAGTTGGGGGCAAGAACTACATCGAAAAGTTGCTCAGTGGCTCTTTGGTGAGAGTTCTGTATCATCGACAGAACTACACGAACAGCAATGTAGACTACAACTCCCACGAAAGCCGCACGAAGACATTCATCCAGTTTGGAGATTCGGTCGACATTCAGAAGTTCTACAAGCTGTTGAAGCCTACGAAGGGTCAGCCTCGACAGCTTGACCTTAGCGACAAGCATGGCACAACTGTGCGTAGCTACTTTAAAAATAGTGGGTAGTTTCTATATAATTCTGTGAGACATACTGACTCGAACATAGCCTTCAAGAGTAAGCTGACCATAGGTTACTCGTGGGATGAGTCGTTATGTGTCAATGTCGGTACCCGAGTGAGAACTGTTCCGCGTCGTGGCGAAACTCCCGAGGCTTTGATGAAGGAACAGAGTCTCAAAGGAGCCCAATGGATACCAGCATGTCTCCTGGAGATCGTCCCCAACCAGACAACAAAGGCGACGCTGGGCGGCATGCACACGTCGTCTATGCTCGATGTCGCATTGCGATTGCCCAACGCCAACGCTACGTTCATCGAGAAAGAAGGTTTGGTACGATTAGGCATCAGGAACCAGGCAGCGCAAAGCCCACTTGTAAGTTATCTGCGGTTCAATTCTCCGGGCGAAACTAACATCCATTAGACCAAGCTAGGCTTCGAGGTGAGCACAGATTTGATCACAATCCCAGGCAGAATACTGGACCTTCCACGACTCTACTACGGGCCGGAGAAAGGTCAAGCAGTCGCTTCAGAACTTCAAGCGGCGCAATTACGCGAGCTCACTACGCGCAACCGCGAACTGTCATCGTGGAATCTTGAGCACGTCACCTTTGCCAAGCCGAGCAACATCGGAAAACTGCATGTGCTTGCACTCAAAGATAGCAGACGGTCCCTTCACGATGCGCAATTTGTTCGAAATAACATGGTCGCAACACTTCAGTCACACAACATGCCTTTGACAGCTGGAGAGTGCGCCCTGCAGGACGGTGCACAGCTCAATGATAAACTCGCGACATGGTACTCCGACAATCATGTGGATGCCAACGACTGTACCCTTGTGCTCTTGGCGCAGAAAGATCTCCTTATTTACTCGCAGGTTCGGCGGCAAGCCGACCTCGAAAGTGGCAAGCACACTATTTGCGCTTTGGGCCCCAAGCTAGATAATGCCCAGACCCGATCCAATCTCGCCCTGAAAGTCAACATGAAAGGAGCTGGAGACAATCACCATTTGGACGAAGCCGTGCTCAACACACTCCTGGGATCCGAGCTACGCAAGAGGACGATGATCCTAGGAGCTGATGTTACCCACTCCGGTGCTGGCACTAAGTCAGGCAGTCCCAGCATTGCCTGTGTGGTCGGCAGCGTGGACAGGCAATTCATGAACTACCCTGGTTCAATGAGGCTTCAGGCTGGCGGGCAGGAGGTAAGTCACCACAGTCTACATATAACAATGCATTAGCTCACTGCAGAAACAGCAAATAGCCAAAGAACACCTAGTGTCCATGGTCAAGGAACGCGTCCTCGCATATACCGACAACATCGAAAACAAGGAGATGCCGACCTCCATGCTCTTTTACAGAGATGGTGTGTCAGAGTCCCAGTTCAACATGTGCAAGGACGAAGAGATTCCCGCAATCTTAGAAGGTTATGAACAGGCCGGCGGCGACGCTACAAAGCTAAGCCTTACTTTCGTGATCGTTGGTAAACGTCATCATACCCGATTCTACGCGACAAAAGAATCTCAGACGCGCAAGTGCACCGTCAATCTCGGTGGGGGCCAGAAGGAGTATGGCGTCATCAACGGTAACCTCATGCCCGGTCTACTGGTCGACGACGTGGTCACTAACCCTGGCAACTACAACTTCTTCCTGCAATCTCACTGTGCCATCAAGGGTACCGCGCGTTCAGCCCACTACCACGTTCTCCAGGACGACATGAACCTTGGATCGGCGTCTCTCCCCGACTTGACGATGCAACTCTGTAGCGCTTTCAGTCGCGCCACGCATTCCGTCTCCTACGTGGCCCCAGCATACATGGCAGACAGATTATGCGAACGAGGTCGGGCTTATCTACGGATCTGGGCGAGCAACCATGACCAAGGCGAGCTGTTCGAGCTCCCTCAGCAGGCCAACGGCAAAAAGGCCAAGCTTACCAAAGAGCAGTTGATGAACCTGAAGCATGGCTTTGCTCTCAAGCTTGCGCGCGACAAGACTGTCTGGGGCGAGCATTACCATGACGACCCAAATGACGACAGTAAGCCGCTCAGGCTGAACCCATGGCACCCAAACCTTGATCAGGGCATGTTTTGGATGTAATGGAATATCCGGATCGCGCGGCGAGAGGCTATCGGACCGTGGGTTCTCGATGGCTAAGGTTTCTTTCTGGTCTTTGCTTGATTTCTTTTGTAGCTGTTTGCGTTGGTCTTTCTGGGTTTCTGTTGCTCTCATGGCTCTTTCATATGTTTCCGCGCGTTGCATCTTGTATTTCCCTCCCTTGGTGCTCCCTGTCGTCTTGCTCTTGTCGCGTGCTCTTTTTGCTTTTACATAGACTTCAATTTGTACTCTCATTCAATAGATTTGTCAATCGATTCAATCATCTTCAACTTACGTACTCTGCATATACCGGTGCCCCGGGGGTCTTATATCGTGTCGCGATGCGGCCCGATCGTTGCGAGCGTGGAAAGTAAGAGGGCTGGCACGTTAGCTCATCCCACGTTCGCACGAACGGGAACTTGACGCGTCGACCCGAGATCGGCAAGCCATAGCTCCCACGCTACATCGTCGCCGTCATCATCAACCTTATAGCCGAATTAGAGATAGGTTTGCCGAAGCAATGAACAAGATGGCTGATCCCTGGTCTCCTTCAATATCCGACGAATTTATCGTCCTCCCCAAAGGCCCATATACACTCGCATCGCATCACGACCCGTCGCATTACCTCACCCTACAACACCGATCAAAATGTCCGGCACGAAGACCCCCCACGACCTGAATTGCCTCACCATTGGCGAACTCGAGAAGCTTGCCGCAGAGCGCATGGACAAGCAGACACGCGATTACTACAATGAGGGTGCAGACTCTGGATCGACGCTCCGCGAGAACATTGACGCATACCAAAAGTATCGCATTCGGCCACGCGTGCTTCGCGACATCTCCTCCATCGATACGACCGTAAACGTTTTCGGACACAAGAACAGCATACCCCTCGGTGTCGCACCAACCGCTATGCAATGTCTCGCACACGACGACGGTGAACTGGCGACCGCACGCGCATGCGCCAACAAGGCTATCGTAATGGGCCTGAGCAGCTTCAGCACAACCAGCCTTGAAGACGTGAAAGGCGCATTGGGCAACCATCCCGGAGCCCTACAACTCTACCTCTTCGAAGAGCGCACCCAAAGCCAGAAGCTCATCCAACGCGCCAAGAAAGCCGGCTACAAAGCTGTCATGCTCACGGTCGATACCCCAGTCCTCGGCCGCCGGAACTTAGAGATAAGGAACCAGTTCAAGCTGCCAAAACACCTCAAAGTAGCGAACTTCAACCGCGATGAGACTCACGACGAGGGTGTGAAGGTCGAAGAGAAGATCACCTCACCATCCACGGAAGCGAACGAGTCGCGCAAGAGGAGCGAGACACCCAGTGCCACTGACGGCAACAAGAGACAGCCACCACAAGGACCGATAAGCTTCCACACGCACGCGCCAAACCCGACCTTATGCTGGGAACGCGACATAGCCTGGCTGAAAGAACAATGTTACCCTGAGATGGAAGTCTGGGTAAAAGGCGTTGCGACGGGCGAAGACGCACTGCTAGCCTGCCACCACGGCGTCGACGGCATCGTGGTGTCGAATCACGGTGGGCGACAACTCAATGGCGCATTGGCTACCATCGATGCGTTGCCTGAAGTCGTTGCTGCTGTGCATTCACAAGCTGGGAAGAAAATTCCGGTACATGTAGACGGAGGCATCAGACACGGTACGGATGTATTCAAAGCACTCGCGCTGGGTGCGGACTTCGTCTGGGTTGGCAGGCCGATACTTTGGGGATTGGCATACAAAGGGCAAGAAGGTGTTGAATTGGCGCTGAGGTTGCTGAGCGATGAGTTCAAGTTGTGCATGGGACTTGCGGGTGTGACAAAGGTTGAGGATATTGGACCCGAGTACTTGGTCAAGATGGATCGAAGTGGATTCGTGAGTCGTCTTTAGAGATTGTGGGCATACGTTGTCGGCTAGCTCTGGATCTATATGCTATTGACACGATTCTTGTATATACAAACGGGCTCGGATATGTTACGACACCTACGCCGCCTGTCTCCTACTCTCGATAAAGTCTACGTAGTCAAAGAAGCTCTTCTTGTACCTTCGCACTTGCGTCGTGCGGTTCACAGTCTGGATACCAAACTGCTGGTCGTAGTCACCAAACTCCCAGTTGTCGGCCCACGACCAAGCAAACGCGCCAATGAAATTGACACCGTCTTCCCAGATCGCCTTCAGGCCTTCGTTCAGATACGTCTGGTAGTACCAGCTCCTTGGGCTGTCGAACTCCTGGTCTGCTTGCTCTTTTTGCGCCTCGGCGAAAACAGGGAAGCCGAATTCAGTGACGGCCACTGGAGAACGCCATGTGTTCCAGAGATAATTCAGGTAGGTGCGGAAATAGCTGGGTGTCAGATAGACATATGATTGACTGCGGTATCCGATGTCCCAGCCAGTGGTGGTGAGAGTGCTCTGAGTTACGCAGTAAGGTCGGAGGGGATGAGTGATGTTGGCAGCGCAGTCAGCGATGGTGTCATTCGGTGGTGGACTGACTACTGTGGCAGTGTACGGTTGGATCGAGAAGAAGTCTGCAGTGCCGTTGATGTATTGTAGATCTTCTTGGCTCAACGGTACGTAGTCGTCAACACTACTCTTGAATGATTCCGGGTAGTCTGTTCCGAGGAAGATAGGGTTGGCAAAGGTAGCTAGCTGGAAGGAGTTGAAGTGGTTGGCAGCGTCGACGTCAGCGGGGTCATCCGGGTTGCGTGGGACGCCAAAGTTGTCGTTGAATGTGAGCGACATCTTTCCAGTTCCACCAATGTCATCGTGGTAGAAGTGGTAGAGTCTTGCATGAGCTTTGATGACAGCATCAATAGACTTTCCGTTCCGCGCACCTAGGAGAGGCTCGTTGAAGGTCCACCAGATTGGCACACGGTCAGCAAAATGTGTCATGACAATCTTTCCGTATTCGACGAAAGCATCCTCCCACGACACATTCTTGTAGCTGCATTGGAAACAAGAGTCCAGATAGCCAATACCTCCGGTTCCGGGCTTGATAAATACATCGCTGATGTTGTTGAAATATTGGAAAGGAGAGTCGTTGTGGTAAAGCATAACAGCGGGGTGCATGCCTTTTTCCAAGACGAAGTTGATAAGATCGTCGTAGTGCGAGAGACCTTGCTTGTTAACTGGTGTGCCTGGTAAGATGAAAGGCAGAATTCGCGTCCAAGGAATGGAGAATCTGTAATACTTGATGCCCATGGCAGCAATTCGTTCAATGTCTTGCTTGTACAAGTAGTAGTGTTCGTTCGCGATCCAGTTCGGCGCTTGGCCCGGGTTGTTCAACGCGGCAACGTCGTTGTGAACGGGTGTCCGTCCCTCATCTGCGACGGCTCCCTCGATTTGAACCGCTGATGCCGCCACGCCAAGCATGAAGTCTGCAGGGAAGGAGTAGCATTGCTGGGGTACCAGTGGCTCAGGTGGTGGCAGGATGAGCTCGCTGGTTGGTACTGGCGTCGGTTCAACTGTCGTAGAGTACATCCCGGTCGTGAAATTGACCCAAGGCACGGTTGTCCAGAGAGCCGTCCAGGATGCGTTTCCGTATGGGCTCCCCAAGTCGGTCGGTGATGCGGTGACATTTGAGTTCCAGTTGCCCCATTGTGTTGTCGTCAGATTTGGCACCAAGCTACTGAGCGACGCGTACGGTGGTGCATAGGTAGTAGTGGTAGTGGGAGCTGGGGCAGATGTTGCTGTACGAACAGTCTCGGTCTGTGTGAAGCTGAACTCTCTGAAGGTATACGAGGGCAGTGCAGTCGCATATGTTTGATTTGCCGAGCATTGCGGTCGCGAGACAGGCCCTTCAGCAGGGACGTAGACTTGCTGGGCGAGAGCCACAGCGCCATACGCAAGAAGTGCTTGAGGCTTCATGATGATGGCCAAGGAACGCTTGATACATCTTGGTATTCTCTGCGGAGCTCTTTATACCTCTGTGGCTTTTCAATCGGACCGTGGGGCTGATTCTGACGGTGGTACTCATCGTCATCGGCATGTACAATCGCTTGTCGCTTCGCAAAACCTCGCAGCCCTAGTCCCGTCGTGAATTAATACGAAGGGCGTGATGCGGCCTTGATCCCTTTCCGGGGTTTGGCGGATTGAATTCCTCGGTCGAGTTCGGTCGGGCCCAATTTCGGTAGTGCCTGGGTGCTTTGCGGGGGCTTGCGGGGTCGAGCTTGTTGTGATGACGAGCGGGATGCAACGTCTAAGCTCCAACGTTGCTTTTCATGAATTGACCAGGCTTATGGTCCTAGCAAGTCTCGGGGTTTCTTAGTGGTCGTTCACGTTGTTGCTTCGCTGTCCTTACTCAAACAAGGTTAGCATGTTCTCCGTCGCGCAGACTTCCAGGGTTCAAAGGTTTCCTGTTTGTGCCCGCAACAACGCGTGTTCAACCGTCTCGGTCTATCATTGCGCGACACCGCCAACCGACAACCGAAACTTCGCGGATGCCTGATTGCATGAATCGAGTGCCCATAGCAATGTTTGCTCAGTCTCCACCACAATGGTGGATGCCAAGACAAGGGACGGTCTGAGTCAGGTGTATCGATCAGACTAGCTATCACATTCGCTCATGTAGTATCCTGCTCCTTCGATGTGCAATTACCAGGCAGCTTGACTTCTAGCTGCTCAATCTGCGCAACATCTCGATATTAAGATGGGCTCATGTCAAGGACGTGTCTCGTGTTCGACTTCATTTGACAACCCACCCTCAGAACCGAGTTCTTGAGAGATCAAGAAGAGGGCCTAAAGTTGTGAGCTATATGCGAAATTGGAAACTTGTAGCAGGTCTCTGTACAATGCATCAACCTTCTGCGACTTGACCTGTAATGGGCAGCTCGCGCTTTCAGAATGTCGCGCCGGCCCGTTGACCGAGGGATTCTCGACGACTGGCAGATTGCAGGATTTGTTGTTTCGACCGGACTTCTGTTGACACCAGTCAAGGCAGAGTCTGAGTGTTTGCAGCTCCTTTCGCTTCAAAGCATTGCCGATGTCGTGATTTTTGAACAGATTATGCTCGTTGCCACGACAAGTCCACAGACGGACAGACACGCGCAGATACCATGAGTGGCATGGAATTGAACACAGAATAGCGTAAGTGTATAGTTGGAGGTTTGAGCAGTGTTGGTGTTGGTCTCGAGAAGCAAGAGATGACGCTAGTGGGGTCCGTGCGCCCACACGAATTTCGTCGTTGCCAACCCACTTGCCGAACTTCACGACGCTCACGACAACTCCAGCGACGACGCACCCGAAACCCGCCCAAATCGAATATCCCCCCGATAATCTACCAAAATGTCTGGAAAGCGCGGGTACGTAGTCCTCAGCGACATTTTGGGCAGTCTGAGGCTGTCATGCAGAGGAATGCTGGCTAACGAGTGTGCAGTCGAGGTTCTACCTCCGGTAACAAGCTCAAGATGACTCTTGGTCTGCCAGTGTACGTTTGACCCCGATGCGATCGCTCCGCCGAAAACCTTTCTGTTCGCGAACACGCATACAAGGCACACAGGGAATGCAGGCTAATAGATGCACAGCGGCGCCGTCATGAACTGCTGCGACAACTCCGGTGCCCGCAACCTGTACATCATCTCCGTCAAGGGTATCGGTGCGCGTCTCAACCGCCTGCCCGCTGGTGGTGCCGGTGACATGGTCATGGCGACCGTGAAGAAGGGAAAGCCCGAGCTGAGGAAGAAGGTCATGCCCGCCGTCATTGTCCGCCAGAGCAAGCCATGGAGGCGAGCAGACGGTATCTACCTGTACTTCGAGGACAACGCCGGTGTCATTGTCAACCCCAAGGGTGAAATGAAGGGCTCCGCCATCACTGGACCCGTCGCAAAGGAGGCCGCTGAGCTGTGGCCGGTACGTGTGCACCCGCCACCAAAAGAATCAACACTAACAACATCCAGCGTATCGCCTCCAACTCCGGTGTCGTCATGTGAGGTGTCTCTTTTCCTGCTTTCGATCACATTCATGGGTTTACGGGCACGGCGAAAATGCATTTACGGGGTGAAGGATTTGGGAGACGACATTGCAACCACGATTAGCAATGGGACGACCTTCACAATACCAGTCAAATGAACATTACGACCAAAACCACACTTTTGTTCCTCATTGCAGTGACGGATGAGTGATACGGCGGTAGTGCGCCAACAGGATCAACAGCACAAGGAGCGCGTCAAGGACATGATTTGCGATGGTCGGACTCTATTGATTGCTCTGACATGAAGACAGGAATTATGTACTAAGCCCACGCACATCTAGACCCTAGGCTCATCGGCTGAGCACGAACTCCTATCGCACGCAAGCATCTGAAAGTCCGCCTCTTCGACAACGTCCTGCGCCCATCGCATCTGTATCATACTTCTCGCCTCAACCTCACGCTTCCTCTGCCCACCCACGAACTTCAAGTTCTCGTTTCCAACAACACCGGTCGTGACAACACCAGTGCTCGGCGCACCGATTCCTTGCACCTGGCCATTACCGCCCTGCATGACATTCGCATAGCTCGATGACATGGTCTGTACTCCAGAAACAAAGTCCTGGCCGTCAAACTCGCAATGTCCTCCCGCAGGTGTGTTGTCCACTGTCTGCAATGTGTTGACCTGATCTGCGCTCAAACCTGCGTCCGCACCGAGCTGCTCGTAAGCTGTAACAGCCTGTGGAATGCTACCCTGAAGCAACTGGAGCTCACTCTGTGTAGATTGGAAGTGGATCCTTGTCTGAGACATGACCGTGGCAGCGTTCTGGAAAGCGACTTGTGGCGGCATGCCACCGCAGTTAAGCTCGACAGCCGAGTTGGCGTAGTTCTGCATCTGTGCTGGGATGAAAAAGCCGGACATCATCAGTGATCCGCCCGAGACACCCGTGAAGACGATGTTGGACATGTTGACTGCAACCCGTTGCGGTAGTTCGGTTTGGATGAAGTCGTTGACGGCCTGGGCGTGTGCTACACCATCTGTACGTTGAAGACCCGAGCCTCCTCCCCAGAACAGGTTTTTATCGGGTGCCAGTAGCGCAACACCCATGGTGTTGGCCTGAACAGCTTGGTTCGGCATGTCGAAGAAGCTCTGTCCACCGTCGCCGTGGAGCAACACGTTCGCGCCCAGGGTGCCATTTGCCGATGTAGCTGCCGCACCGGGGACGCCCGAAGCTGGAAGGAATTGGTCTGCCGGTGCGGAGATTTTGAATCGAATAGGCAGGTTATTGACCATGACCGTGTCATCCAGTATCATGGAACCATCGGTGGCTGTAGAGATTCCCTGGGGCACCTGAGCCGCTTTTTGAAAGGCTGTCGCTTGTTGTGCGTTGCCGTTACCTCCGCGGTTGCGTTGTGGCAGCGCCGAAGTGAGAGAAAGCAGCGAGAGAGTGATGAGTCCGTACATGATTGCGATAACTAAAAGCTCAATAGACGAAAATAGAAATTAGAGTATTGAAATGATGGACCGGCCAGAAAGAAGAATCGAAAGAAGGGTGGCAGACAAGAGATACCGCACGGCAGTATAGCGGGAAGAGAAGAAAGGAAAGAAGTGTGGGGGATTCCCATACATCTATACTGCATGAACGGCATGCTACAAATCACGAAAAGGCCTCGAGCCTGCGAAACACAGTTTCTTTCACTCCTAAACGCGTACGAGTATAGCCAAGCCTACAGGTCAGAGCTTCGCCTTGCCTCTCTTGAGCTTAACATGACTGAGTTCCACCACTGAGCGGTGTGGTCTGGACAAGGCTTATGGGAGCTGTGTTTGATGCGCGATTGTGCAGCAGCTGTGGTTTGAGCTTGGAGGCCTTGGTGTTTCGGGCCGGGGCTTGGCGTGCGATTGCGGGTAACCGAGGGTTTACAGAGCTATCTGGAGTGCGTCAGGCATACGAGTGTTGTGCTATTCATAATTTCATCTAGCTCGCATGCGCATCGTGGGAGGTGTCGCGATGTTGATCTGCGCGGGCAGAGGAGGGAGTATCTCGGTGTGGAGGGTCCGTGCGTTGGACTGAGGCCGCCATCATCTGCAGGCATGATTTTCCCGTCATTCACACCTTCACGTACTTGAGATGCTTCCTTCTGATCGCTTCTCATGACTTCTGAATCTATCTCTAGCAAGAGAATAAAGATACAGACATTTTGTCTCTGCAGTTGTCATTATAACCAGAACTGGAAGAAGCTTGGGTACAAACAAACATCAGGACTTCATGTTCCTCACAATCGACGCGCTGTTGTGTGAGCAAAAAGAATCAACTTAACAACTTCATCGAATGCAAAGGGAGGCAAAAAGAAGATCACTGAATGCCACCTGGCCGAATCGCTACAACACTGTTAGTAATGGAATTTGAACCAAGCGCGGTTCAAACTTACAACGACCGATCTTCGCATATCGTAGCATGTACAAGTGCGACGCTTTACCACTTAGCCAAGGAGGCGATTGTTGATGACTAATAAATATTAAAAGGTACATATCGACACGTCAAATGTGGGCAAGAGTACGTTGACGTGGTAAGCGAGGGTGTGGGGCGGCAGCGGCGACAATGTGTACGAGTGAAATTGGGGACTATCCGATTGACACAGTCAGGGCCACAGAGAGAGCGCGAGAGAGAAACTTAAGTAATCTGTGACTTTGGTATTGATATCTGATGAACGTTCTCTGAAACAAAACCGCTATGCAAAATACCTAAAATGTCAAATGCTAAGGAAAAGGGTAGCTGTAATGCGAGAAGTAGCTTCCCAATCGTCCCTTCCAAACGCCACGCTTATGCTCATGCAAATGCCTCGCTTCGTAAATCATCAACCTCGGAAACAACAAGCCCAATCTAAGCCAGGCCGAAAACACCCCTCAACCGCCTCCAAAGCTCCTTGCCCATGGCCTTTCGGGTATCCTCAGTACGGAGCGCAGCCTCCTTGTTCTCACTCGCCCTCCTGAGCAGGAAGTTGAGGCATTCGGTCGTGGTACCCCAAGTCATGCACTTGACGACCTTGGCCTGGGTGTCTGCCTTCATGGTCTCGTCTTGGACTAGAGCCTGTGAGATCTCGTCGGCCATACCCTGGAGTTGGGCGTAGGTAAGACGAGGTAGGTTCTCGGGGGAAGTGGAGAGCATTTGTTGGGCGCGGATCTTCTGGGCGGCTTGGACGGAGGCGAGGTTGTGGGTTGCGAGGACGATGTTGACCTTGGGGAAGGGAGTACCTGGTGTGGGGGCGGGGACCTTGTCAGTCCATTGTTGGCGGACTACGGCATCAGCGAGGGCATCGTAGTTGGCGTCGGTGCCGGCTTTGGTGTCAAAGGTGAGATGCTTGGGCTCGGATGTGAGGTAGGCGCCGCGTACAAGCTTGACACCAGCGATGTAGCCTTTCTTTGAGGCGCGCTCAAGGTGCTCGGCCAGGCGCTTCGAGATGTCGCGCAGGTAGCACTGGTATGTGATGTAGAGAACTGCGCGACCGTTCTCGGGCTTGTTGTACTTCTCCTGCAGGGCTACCGTCCACTTCTCGAGTCCACGGTTGGTTGCCTCTTCTTCGGCACCAGGGAGGAGGCTGACACCCTTTGCGGCGGCGGCATCGCAAGCTGCCGTGATGGCATCCCACATCTCAGGGGTGGCTTCTTGCTGGTTCTGGAGGAGGTTGAGGGCATGATGACCGAGACCGGACCATCTACATGGTGGTTAGTAGCTGCTTATGTCTGGGCCATCGAGGCAAGACTTACTTCAGTCCAACAAAGTCACCCTCCTTCGCCATATCAACGCTCTGCAACATTCCCTTCCTCCACACCTCGATCTCCATCTTGGTCTCTTCGGCAGTTGGCGCCTTTCCGCCTAGAACCTCAAGCGCGTACTCAAACAGGATGCCGCCGTATCCAAGCGTGCGTGCGAATTCAGTGTTCCTGACGACCTCATCTTTCTTCTCGCCAACGCAGTACTGCGCATAGAAGGTCTTCTTGAGTAGGTTGGATAGCACTGGGTTTCGCTCGATGCTCAGGAGGAAAGACTTCGAGTCTAGCATGCGCCGTAAGATGCCGAAGCAAGCATTGAGCAGCAGAGGCCGCGATGACACGGCTGTGATGAGGTAGGATCGGAGGACGGTCTCGGTAGGTAGGCGTCCGAGGACTGCTTTTGTCTGCGCTATTTGCGACTCTGGCTGTGTCGACAGGAGATGTGAGGTCGAGACTTGTGATGAGGCGGGGATAGAGACATTCTGTCGTGCGCTCTGGGAGACGTAGCGCGGTGTCTGTGCAAGGGTTCGGGATGTGTGTGCGAGCGCGAGACTCTGGAAGCGGTGGAGGTTCTGTCTCCGGATCATCATCTTGGAATGTGGATGTAGTCTGGCCCTGAAGTGGTTGTGTGAAAGGTGGTGTAGTTTGCACTTGGAGTTGGTGAATCGGCACGGTGTACAGATTTTCGGATTTTGCAAAGTTGAGAGGGCGAGCAGTTCTGGAGGTCTTGTGACTTGCTTTTCATTGTGGTGAAGGCCATATATACCATGGTTGGTACTCTTGGTGCTCCACGATATCGCACGCGATGCTCGGCTTGCGTCGGATGCGGTCATGTCGCACTAGTGCAGCTTCATTGTTGCTCCAGATGGTGCCAGACTGACGCAGACGCCGGCTTATCGCCCGCGCTAGACGGGCCGATGATTGGACAATGCCGCAACGCGTTCCTGTGGAGTAAACGACATGTCTGGCATTCATGGCGACGCGATGGTGTTGAGGTTTGTTGCTGGATGTGATGTAATGACTGTTGTAGAGTTGTGAAAAACTCATCGTGCCTGCTTCCCGTGCAAGCCGGTGACGTAGCATCACCAATTTCCAGTCTGCGATCCCTTGCTTTTGCCATGGCTTTGACCTCCAAGCTGCCATCGTGACCTTCGCAATGCCTGTTACCCCACAGTCGGCGAAATGCACAACCAGCCGCTCCTCACATTAGCGTCATCTTGCCAGCACAGCTCCGTTCGCGATCTGTGTTGGGTTTGCCGCCCACGCTGAGAGCCGAGCGTAGCCATGGCGGCATCGCTCAAAGTCCAGGGCCAGCCCCCAGCATTCAATTCTTCTGACCACATCATCTCCACTCAGACTCTGCATCGGTACCACGCGCACCGGTATCGGATATTATGGAGAAGAAGCAAATTTTTGTCATGGCTTGATGTTAGCATGGCGACCGCGAAGAGGGCCGTTCTGGCTGCGGAAAGCGTCGGGGACCCACAATCACCCACGCCGACTATGCTCCAGTCTGGCCTCGCGTCTCTGCCAGCTGATGATACGATACCAGCTTGCACTTGGTAATTTCACTGCGGAGACGTGTCTTGACGAGTGCTTGAGATCCCCAGGTCACCGCACTGTGTTGTGTACGCGTCTGCCAATCCGTTTACTAAACGCCGAAGCTAATTTCCCACGCAAGCGTCAGGTGATGACCTTTGGGCCTTGGCCACCAAAATCATAGAGCTGATCCCCAAACAAAATCAAGCACTGACTAGAAGCACCTACGCGTCTTCTCCTGCTTCTGCTTCCCCACTTTTCCCCAGACTAGACCCCAATCCAGGTGCTATCCCAAGCTGGCCCTCTCAGGCGCATGGCACGAAGACATGATAGTCACTGTCCTTTCTTCAAGCCCGTGTTTGAAATGATCTATAACACTGAAACTACTCCTACAGCATGCCACGATGAAGCGACCTTCATCACACCGCACCAGCTCCTGCTTTCGGCATCTGCGCCCCATCCTGTCCGACCTGCACATCTCCGTCCCCACTCGCACTCTCCTTATTCGCTCCTCCCTCAGCCAACGCCTTGAAAGCTCCTAGGAAGTCATTCTTCAAGTCTTCCCAGTTTTCCACGCCCACACTAACCCTCAGCAGCCTCTCGTCCACATCCGCATCGCTCATCCTGCGCCACTCGATCAAACTCTCCACACCTCCCAAACTGGTCGCATGGTGAAAGAGACGCAGATTGGAGGGAAGAGACCGCGCCTGTTGGCTGCTCTTCATGTAGACGCTGAAGACGGGACCGAAACCATTCGGCATCTGCTTCTTCAACCACGACATGTCCTTCTCTTGCAAACTCGCGTGAGCAACCTTGTGCACGACTTTCTTTACGGCATCTACGTCTTCTCCCTTACCATTGAGTGAGTCTTGCAGCCAGCGAACAAGATTTTCCGCGTTGCTGCTCTGTCGCTGAACGCGCAAATCAAACGTCCGGAGACTTCGCACGCCGAGCCACCCCTCTAGACTACCTAGGACTGCACCCAGGAAAATACGCTCAGCACGTAGCGTCTTGGCTTGCTTTAGTCCTTCCGGCCCCTTTGCAGTGGCCAGGATACCGCAAAGCATATCACTGTGACCACCGATGTATTTCGTTCCAGAATGCATGACCACATCTGCGCCCCACAGCAACGGATCCTGTAGACCTGGTGGCGCGAATGTAGTGTCGACGCTGAGGAACGCGCCCCGCTTGTGCGCTCGGGCGGCGTACTTCGCTATTTCGAAAGCTTCTCCTGTGGGGTTCAAGGGTGTCTCGAGATGCACGAGGTCGCCTTTACCTAAGCCGGCGGCGTCCCAAACAGCATCATCGGCGTGGAGGTCCACGGTCTTGACGCCGTGCATCTTCTTGTGTAGTTCGATCACGCCATGGCAGCCATGGTAGCCACCACTAATGGCAATAACTTTGGGAACAATGTTGACGAGCATGGCATGGAAGGCGCTGAGGCCGCTTGTGTAGCTGACAACATGGTTTGCTAACCCGGATTGCCCATCTAGCTCTTCCTGTTTTGCATCAGGGTAGAGTAAAGGCGCTAGGATTGTTTCTAGGCGGTTGGTGCTGGCGGACGCGAGACGAGAGTAGATCAGAGGGGTTTGTAGGTCAACGAATTCGCCTTCTTTCGGGACGGGTTGGAGCTCTGATGGGTCGTGAGGATACCGGAAGGTAGTCGATGTGTGAATTGGTGGGGCGACATCGGTGAGGACATTGATGCGGTCGTCGCCATGGACACCGTGTGTTGAGGGGTGGTATGCCGACATGATGACTGTGAATGGATGACTCTGAGATCTTTGGCAGGCAGCTAGCGATATCTGCAGTATTGCGATCGTTTCGGATGCTGTACGAACGTCAATCTGAAGGTAAATGACACAACTCTTTCAATCAGTGTGGACGAATGACTCTGAGTAAATGGAGAACACGCTTATCACGATGACATGACGAGCATTGCGACATCACGCCCTATACGGTGAAAATTGCGGACCACGGCCGCTAGATCTAACCGTTCACGCGATTGGAGTGGAGCTTTGCCGGCAATTGTGGACACAGGCGTAGCATGAGCTGGGAAGTGGGTATGAAGCTATTAAGCTCGTGCAGCGCTTGGTGGAGTCTCGAACATCTCGGTGATAGATATACTTGAACAGATACTTGTATACCCGTGAAGTAGCATAGAGACATCCCTCGAAGAATGTTCTTCCGCGCGAGCTCCTGTAGTGCGGAATGACCGGAGATATGACGAATGCGGGGTAAATTGTTGCCCCTCCTCGCGACAAAAAAAGTCGCAGACAGCAGCGCGCCTGCGCTGTGAAAGACAGGGTCTGACAAATGTATCGGAATTGTCACATGTGCATCGAAATGGGTAAGATCGCTGATGGATAGCCTCTCGAAGAGTTATGGAGCCTTGTTGACCATTACTACTGAATCGCAAGCTGTCTATTGCACAAAAAAATCCTTCTCAGATAGTCGACCATAGTTGTATTCCACTCTCATCACAGAGCATCTACTGGGCTCCGGCATCAGTAATGGTGGGTGGGCCATCCTTGTACTTGATGCTGCCGTTGCTGGAGCCGCAAGCCTCGATCGCTCGGACAACCTTGTAGGATTCGACGTCGCCGTCGGGAACGCCACCGAAGACGACGTGCTTGCCGTTGAGCCATGAGGTAACGACGGTGGTGACGAAGAACTGGGAGCCGTTGCTGTGACGCGTTAGCCATGACTCCGCTCATCCGTGGACGTGTAGAACCTACGTATTGGGGCCGGCGTTGGCCATGGAGAGGAGGAAGGGGCGGTCGTGCTTCAACTTGAAGTTCTCGTCGGCGAACTGGGGACCGTAGATGCTCTTACCACCTGTACCCTACTGCCTGTTAGCCAACTGTCCCTGTGGTGTGTCGCGGCCAAAACTTACGTTGCCGCGGGTGAAGTCACCACCCTGGAGCATAAAGTCGGGAATCACGCGGTGGAACTTGGAGCCCTTGTAGCCAAAGCCCTTCTCGCCAGTGCAGAGAGCGCGGAAGTTCTCAACCGTCTTGGGGACGACATCGTCGAAGAGCTCGAAGTTGACACGGCCGGTTTGCGCTGCAGGTATACAAAGTTAGCAATTGCAAGTAACATGCTATGACAAAGCTGGGAGGAGCTACCTTTGACATCACCTTGGCTAGTGACATTGCCAGCGTTATCGACCTCGACAGTGGGGCCGGTCCAAGAGCAATCAAAGTAAGCCTTGATGGCCATGTTGTATGCCGAGGGAGTGAAGAAGCGTTTGTTGATAGGAGCGCGCAGTTGGGGACCTGCACGGAAAGCTGAAAGAGCAGAAGCTCTCGGAAGGTGGGGCATGATGCAGCGCGGGGTGTGAGTCTAACCTGATAGGCAGTTAGGTCATGGAGCTTGGCAGTGAATCGTGAGATAGCAGGTAATTTTCTTCTGGGAGACGCTGCAGCTTTGGAGCTGGAGATTGGTGCCACTTTGCTGGCTGTAAACTCAATTTAGAGCTACACAGAACTGCGACATCGCTATAACAACTCAAGGATCGAGGTGTACAAATCCAACGGTGGCAACTTACAGAAGTATGCTAAGAGGAATCGGGCCGCTATGCAACACGATATGCAAAACGGAAGAGATATAATACAATTGATGGACTACCGACGAGAGGCAGCAGGTGTAGTGTCGGATGGATGACCAGACGGAAAACTTTGGATACCTCAAGCTTGTGCACAAGTCTAGCGCGTTCCCCGATTCGGCGCTTCATCGCTCACGTCAATCGTGGACCTCTGCGTGGGACCGGCCCGCTCTGGAATTGATATCCGCTTCTTCTTACACAGCGAGGAACATGGATGCCCATTGAATCACGCTATATCCGCATGCCGAGTCGTACCATTGCCGAAGTAGTGTTGTCTATAGTTCTTGAGGCCGGCAAGGTCCAAGCGCATGTCACGTGAAATTTGGGCTGCTGTCGGATTGTCTACGGTGTATGCACTTCACAGGTTGGCTTGCTGACAAGGTAAACGCATTCCTGTAATTGAAGGCTTCTGCATCCTTCCTGATTGATATTTTCTGTCATGTAAATATCCCCAAACGCAGGCGCCCATTCCGACTTCCCGAAACTTGTGCAAAGCGCCCTCGGGGGTCCGCTACCGAGACCGTGGTCGATAGCTGCCAGCCCAACTACAATACACCCACATCGCCAAACCGCCAGATTTACGCGCCAGAATTCGGCAATCATGGATCTAAACAGCTTGAAGGACCAAGTGAGCAACCTCACGCTCTACGATCTCAAGGCCGGATTTCGCAAGGCCCAAAATGGTAGGCTGAGGGGGCGCATGAAGCCAGCTGGCCAATGCTAACGCGCTGCGCAGCCGTCATGAACTACACGGAGATGGAGGCCAAGGTCCGCGAGGCGACAAACAATGAGCCATGGGGTGAGCGAAACCTCGTGCGCGACGAAGGCTTCCGCTGACAGATGGCAAGGTGCATCCTCGACTATGCTACAGGAGATCGCCAATGGAACCTTCAACTAGTAGGCGATGCCTGAGGAGCTGGTGGACCACGGCTAACAGAGCAGCCAACTGCTGAATGAGATCATGCCCATGATTTACAAGCGCTTCACCGAGAAGGCCTCGGAGGAATGGAGACAGATCTACAAGGTACGTTGAGCGCTCTGTGCCACCACCGTCGCTAACAGACCCAGGCCCTGCAACTTCTCGAATACCTGATCAAGAACGGTTCGGAACGAGTAATCGACGACGCGCGCTCTCATGTCTCGCTCCTCAAGATGCTACGGCAATTCCACTTCATCGACTCCAACGGCAAGGATCAGGGCATCAACGTACGCAACCGTGCCAAGGAGCTCGCCGAACTCCTCAGCGATGTCGATCGCATCCGGACTGAGCGCAAGAAAGCGCGAGCGAACCGAAACAAATTTGGCGGTGTCGAGGGCGGAGCGGGCATCGGCATGGGCGGCTTCTCGGGAAGCAGTGGAGGTGGCAGCCGCTACGGAGGCTTTGGTAGCGAACAAGCCGACTATGGCGGCTACAGAGGGGAGGTATACGGCGACGGTGGTGGCTTCGGAGGCAACCAGTCTGGCTTCGCAGATACGCAACAGAGGCGCGACAAGTTCGACGAATACGACGAATACGATGAGGGTGATGCCAGCTCAGCACCAGCACGGCGGAGAGAGCCTACAGCGAGTCACACAAAGAAAGAAGTCAAGAAGGAGGAACCTAAGCCGAAAGCACCTGAGCCAGTCGTCGACTTACTTGCGTTTGACGATGAGCCCGCGCCCATGTCGACTTCGGCAGGGAAGCAGCCTGTCACTGCTGCAAGTGACGACTTTGGCGACGACGACGATTTCGACGACTTCCAGTCTGCGGCACCGGCACCACCTGCATCCAAGCCAGCTGCTTCAGCTTTCAACGTTGCGTCTCCTGCCTCAACCTCTCACATCACTTCGTCAACCCAATTCGCCGCACCGCAGGCTCAGTCTGCTGCGCAGAACAACAATCTCAGCAACTTGTTTGCGACCGTCTCGCCACCACCCGCTGCGAATAAGATGAGCGCGCCTCCTTCCATGACGTCGAGCTTCTCGCAGCCACCACAACCCACAGGTTACCAAGCGGCCGGCCCGAACTACTTCACTTCCGTTCCTCAGCCCGCGCCCCAATCAGGAGCATCTACACCCTCTGTCATGTCACCAGGTGGTCGCATTGGCGGAGGAGCTGCTCCCAAGAAAGCGGGCGGTGACGCTTTCGCTTCTTTACTTGCTGGAGCTGCGCCAAAGAAGTCTTCCACGCCAACACAAAAGGTTACCATGGGGGATTTGGCTAAGCAAAAGACGTCACAAGGACTCTGGGGTGCCCCTGCTTCTGCATCCAGCACACCTGCCCCTGCCGCACAACCATCGCAGTCAGGCTCAAAGCCTGGCGGCGCTCTGGGAGATCTGCTGGGCTAGATGCCACAACAGTGTGCAATGCTTTTTTTTTGTTTTGGCTTGAAGATACAAAATGCGGCGTATGATGCTCGACAGTCGAGAAAGAGCGTAATAGACGATCTTATATCTGAAAATAGTGATGATGAAGACCATGAGGACAGTGATGGTTCTCCGCAAATGCGCCTCTTTGATTGGCTGATGTCACCCCTGTATGACCTCCGCGGCCAAGACGCTGTCGACGCGCGCGCAACGTGTGGCATGTGAAAACAACAGCACCGTCCCCTTTCCGGACCCGAACATGCATAGATGCAGCTCTCGAGATTTCTTTTCCGCGTCGCCCTGCTGCTATGTCCGATAGCCTTGATTGGCACGACATGGCTGTATTTGTACCCCATTTTCCACGGCTGCGCATTCCCAAAGCCCCCATCCACGCAGGCGCAAGCCAATGCACCCTTCCGTCTACTCTCCCTCGGTGATCCCCAGCTCGAGGGTGACTCTTCACTCCCCGATCCGAATGCGCTCGTCTTCCCGTCGATCGAGAAGCTCGTACCGAATCTGCGCGATGCAGCCAACTCCACCCACAGACGAGACATCGTAGAAGAAGCAGCAAGAGGTGTCGTTAAAGATGCTGGTAGATGGCTGGAGGGGAAAAGGAAGGCTGTAGATTTGTGGGGGAACGACTGGTATCTGTCGCACATCGTGAGAAGCCTACGATGGTGGACTGAGCCCACACACATCAGTGTGCTTGGTGACTTGTTGGGCAGTCAGTGGGTCACAGATGGCGAATTCAGGAAGCGAGCAGGGCGCTATTGGAACGTTGTCATGAGGGGATTGCAGAAGGTGCCGGATGTCATCTTTGGTGCTCTTGAGACTGAGAAGAAAGAACAGCCGCCAACAGAACCTCCATTGGAACTAGAAGTTTCAGGAGAAGAGACGATAGACGAGGAGCAGAAATTAGAGAGGAAGGCACTGTGGGGTGGCACAACGGAAGTGCTGGGTGCTGATCAAGACTGGGAGAAGCGCGTCATTAACATAGTTGGAAACCACGACGTTGGTTACGCTGGCGACATCGACGAGTCGCGTATCGAGCGATTCGAAAAGGCCTTTGGAAGTTCCAACTGGGATATCTGGTTCACGCTCCCGGACACACTGCGCTTGAACAAGACCACCGAACCCGCTATACAGGACCTGCCCAGGCCTCCGACGCTCCGCCTCATCATCCTGAACTCGATGAATCTCGATACACCCGCCTGGTCCTCCGACCTTCAGACCGAGACATACTCCTACATGAACCACATCATAACCAGCTCTCTTCCAGTCGATGACAAGACACACGCTACCATACTCCTCACCCATATTCCGCTCGAGAAGGAGGAAGGTGTCTGTGTTGACAGCCCATACTTCGACTTCTTTGAAGAAGGTCAAGGGGTGAAGGAGCAAAATATGCTATCAGACCATGCTAGTAAGATTGTTCTCGAGGGGTTATTTGGCATGAGTGCGAATAAAGATGCAGAGGGCAAGGGGCAGGGTAGGAGGGGTATAATACTCAACGGGCATGATCACGCTGGCTGTGACGTCGTACATTACATTCGTCAGCCCGGTGTGGACGATGCGTGTCAAGTGGCCCATGTGAAGAGAGAGGAGGCATACTGGCCAGCGAGCACTACGAATGCGACAATGATTGCTACTTCGATGGATATCGATGGCGTCGACATCAACGTGGTAGCCGCTAACGATACCATTGCTGAATCCGATGTAGCCTCGGACGAGACAGCATCTGAATCGGCACCAGAGCCTACTTCAGAGCCTGAACCTGAACCTCCCGCACCACCGAAATGGAAGGCTCGTCGCTTCCCAACTCGTCCATACGACATCACCCCAGCCAACGAATGCACTTCCATCAACGACGTCCCTCACATTCGCGAAATCACCCTCCGCAGCATGATGGGAGAGTACTCAGGCTACGCAGGTTTCCTATCAGCGTGGTTCGATGAAAGTAAAGGCGAGAAGGGCGAGTGGGTTTTCGAGTTTAGCACGTGTGGAGTCGGGGTTCAGCATTGGTGGTGGGGTGTGCACATCGTTGACCTGATCTTGCTGCTCTGTCTAGTAGTTGGGACTGTGGCGACTGTTTATGAGCGCCTAGCCGCGGACACAAGGGATCCAGCGATTGTTAAGAGTAAGAAGCAAGAGTTGGGCTCGACTAAGAATTTAATGGGGGCGAAGACGATTGTGCATACGACGCGTGAGAGGACGTCTTCGGTCACGGAAGTTACGAAACGAAGGATATAGAGATGGGTATGTAGGGCATATAACTATAAAGCAGGGCTTCCAAAAGCTGCGTTCTTTGAATCAACGTACCTGAGCTGAGTTGGCTAGTGTGCATACCTAGGTAGACCCTTCGGATACATGGGTTTACCCCGCAATGCAACTCCACGCGCCAGCGTGCACATCTCCACGACCGGGCACCAACGTAAAGAGCGCTATACCTCGACCATTCCCGCCTCATTTGTCCGCGTCTCGCGCTACCCCAGCTGTCTGCGCCCTTTGGCCTTGCTTCTTCCTCGACAGCCAAGAAGATGGACTAGGCCCGAACCTTAAATGCTGCGTGATCGACAAGTTCGGACTCATTCCGCTTCCCTGGCAAATGGAGGCCTACGTGGATGAGGAAGATGCATGTGCGTGTAAGCTGACTGAAGCAAATCTTCCAAATTCTTCATGCCTTTCCGTGTTATTGGTCTAGCGTCACTGGAATAACATGTCAAAGTAGCCCGGCTACAGCACAGGAGCCACTCAGCTCCAATATATTTAGTCTTGTAGAACCGTACCCGGTAGCGCTACCGTGCACCGCGGTCTCATTCCGTGGCACATAGCTCTGGACTAACCAGACCACGTTATATGGACTCTGGCCTCGTACTGCGCATCGGGAGGCAAGTCTCCTCTATCATCTATCCACGAACCAGCCATGTCTCTTGAACGCGTCGACTCAGTGGACCCTACAGAAGTGTACGACTACATCATTTGCGGGTACGTTGACTTCTTATCATACTCACTACAGCATTCCTCAAATACTCTTACTAACAGATACCCATCAGTGGCGGCACATCCGGTTGTGTAATAGCAGGCCGTCTCGCCGAAGATATTAACGCCAAAATCCTCGTCCTAGAAGCCGGACCCGACAATGCTGACCTTGAGAATGTACATATGGCGGGAGGGTAAGTCAGCCATATTAACGTATACTGCTATTGGGTTATGCTGAGTAAATCGCCCTAGATGGAGCCAAAATTTCGATAAGGAAACAGACTGGAACATCGTTACCGAGCCCATGCCCAAGGTGGACAACCGCCAGGTCAAGGTCAGCAGAGGACGCTTCCTTGGTGGATCGAGTGGCGTGAACGGCACGCTTTGTATACGGGGCACCAAGCAGGATTACGATGACTGGGAGCTGGATGAGTGGACTGGCGATAAGATGTTCGAATACATGAAGAAGGTCGGTTCTGGAAGTGCAGTGATAGAAGAGCATACAAGCTGACCCTCATGCAGTCCGAGACTTTCCACGAGAAGGACTGGCACAAAGCGGATATGTCTGTTCATGGCTCGTCAGGACCTCTGCACATCGAGCCCCACGACCTGGCACCCATATCTGAACGTGTTAGGGAAAGTCTTGTCGACCAGGGTCTTCCTTACCACGCGGATATGTTCTCCACCGGAGAGACCCCCCACGGATGTGGCGATGTACCGCGAACAATACATCAAGGTATACGGAGTACCGCGGCCGACTTCATCACCAAAGGCTATCGACGGGAGAATATCACGATCAAGACGGAAGTGACTGTTGACAAACTTCTCTTCAGTCAAGAATCCGGAGATCTTGCAGCCACGGGTGTCGCTACTATATCGAAAAATGGCAAGAAGATCGATTACCACGCGAGAAAAGAAGTCATTGTCGCAGCGGGCGCATACTGCAGCCCACCGATCTTGATGCGCTCTGGTCTTGGCCCAAAGGAACAACTAGAAAAGCATGGTATCGAGTGTCGTGTTGATCTGCCAGGTGTAGGCGGCAATCTGATGGACCACATTCTCTGCTTCATCTTCTACGAAGTTTCCGAACCCAATCTCACGAACGATCACCTCGCATACCACGACGACGCCATGGCTTCGACATACGCGCTGTACAAAGAAAAGAAGACTGGCATCTTATCTACCTTCCCCTTCGGCATATTCGGTTACGCGCGCCTAGACGAGCGCCTCCAAGACTCACCCTTATGGACAGAAGCCCCTCGCGAACCCGGCCGCGATCCTATGGGCCTCACACCCTCGCAACCCAACATCGAGTTCTGGAACACCGAACTCTACGGCGGACCCAAACAATACGCCGACTTTCCTATTGATCATAAACAAGCCTTTGCCATGTGTGCACTGCTCTTCAACCAGCATAGCAGGGGTAGCGTGACGCTGAAGTCGGCCGATCCTTTCGAAAACCCCATTGTCGATCATGCGTACTTGGAAGATCCACTGGATATGCTGGTTATGACCGAGGCCTGTCGATTTGCGAATGAAATTGTTACAAAGGGGAAGGGGACAAGGAGTTTGATCAAGGGGAGTTGGCCTGATGCCCTAGCGCATCATGGCTTTGAGACCAGAGAGGAGTGGGAGCCGCATGTTAGAGAACATGCTACTACCTGTAAGTTACTCCCATTCTCATCTACAAATGGAGAAATACACTAACGTGGTGGATGTAGGTTACCACGCATCCGGCACCTGCGCGATGGGTAAAGCGGATAACCCGAATGCTGTTCTCGACTCGCGACTTCGTGTGCGCGGTGTCAGGAATCTGCGTGTGGCGGACGTGTCTTCCATCCCAAAGGTTAACAATGGGCATACACAGATGGTGGCGTATGGTATTGGGGAGGGAGCTGCGGAGATGATCAAGGAAGATGCTGCTGGAAACAATTTCTTGAAGCTTACTGCTGATGTTAAGAGCATGGCAGTGTAGTGAACTTTACGTACACGATGAGGTCTGGGGAGAGAAAGGACTCATAATAGCGAGGCCTCAACGACTTCTAGTTCACTAATGTGTTCATTTATCACCAAGCCGACTTGCTCATCAACTCATGCAGTTTAGTGTTCGCGATGTGCTCCGTCCCAAGCGCGTAGAGCTGACCTCTAGTAACCACCTCCGAAGCCACCACGGCCACGGTTTCCACCTCGTCCCCGACTGGACTCGCCTCGAGGACCCGGTCCAAAGGTAGGCGGTGCGATCGGCCCATGGAAGCCCGGAGGCGGAGCCATACCGCGAGTATCGCGCCTCCTCATGTCAGTCTCATCTCGCTTCAGCAAAAGTCCATCCCATATCTTACCAGTTGGGGTACTTCATCAGGGAACGACCAGATGCCCAAGTCTGTCCTCGCTGCTTCTCTTGCTCGGCGACCACCTCGTGGGCGTCTTGTAGCCCTCGGGCTGCTTGGAGGGGTGGCAGAACGAGACCGCCCCACTTCTTGTAGTGGCGGACTAGTAGGAGGTCGACCAAGGCTGCGTTGCTGATGATGGACTCGACGCCGGGATGGCAGTCGTCAGGATGGGTGATGCCCCAGACAATCTGGTCCATCGCGCTGGCGTTATTTTCGATCAGATCCTGATCAACGTTAGTAATTGGTAGATAGATACTTGGGTGAAAGTGAAGGTGAAGAAGAAGTGAACTGGTATTGACAATGATGGAACTGAACATGAAAGGAACTTACGATGGCGTTGCTGACGCTCACCACAGTAACGACATCCCGGCTGTGAACGTGGTTTGGGCTTTTGCGCTTATATGTGCGCCAATGCGTAACCATGCTGGCGTCGGCGTAGGCCTCGAAGTCGTTGACCTGATAACCGGTTGGACGTTCACTCTCTAGACGGTACACGAGCTCGTTGGTTGAGGAGGTGTTGGTAGACATCTTGTCGTATTTTGTCGATTATAGGATAATGGAAGTGGTATGTCAAAGCGTGATGCTAAAAATGGAGATGCTCCGGTTGTTATAGAAGGAAAAGAAGAAGCAAGCGTATGAGGAGGGTAGATTATATACAAGCAAGAACTCCCACCGTTTGGCGCTAGAACAGGCAATCTGTAGTCACGCCGAGAAGTAAAAGACGGAAGGTGAGCGCGTCGGTCACGCTGGATGCTGAGAGACAAACGCCCTTACAAGCGACGGTCACCTCGGCTTTGAGATGTCAGGGGAAAAGCTTAATGGGAGATGCTAGCACATGGAAAGAGAGGTCTGGAGAAGGACTTACTTATAGTGTCGTCGTGTCGGCGTAGCAGGCATATCATATGTCACCTGGGAGTATGTGTTGTCGTAACTTGACCGAGTGAGTAACTCTCCTGATATGTAGCAATCAAGGCAGTGCAAGCGCGCATGTTCCGCCTTCCTGGCATCTTTGAAAGGGAGGTCAGGTGTCCATTGTGCTAGATGCCAGGTTTCGTAGTCTCTCTTTCGCCGCCGCCAAAGGCTCGACCAAATCAGCATGAAGATCTTATACAGCCCGCAGTTACGTCTGAGCAGCAGGGCAACGTTTCATTGCTCAGGTCCGTGCTCTTAGCCACTAGTCACACCGCGGAGACCCTATGATCCACCTGGTGCGTTCTCTCCTCAAAACCGCAAACACCCGCGATATTTATCTCCCGTACGCACAACGGACCGATCCAAATCCCTCAACTTCCAACAATATCCAAGATGGTACGACAAGCAGCAAAGCCAAAGCCCGACATGAGCTACTCCGATTACATCGCTTCCGGAACAAGACTCGCTAGGCTTGAAGCTGACGACATGCCAAATTATGCGGCCATGAGTTATGCAGAGCTTCGCGAGGAGATGAAATCGCGTGGGATGTTCAAAGGTGGAAAAAAGCAACGGATGATCAGCGTGCTTGAAGATCAGTTTCGATATATGCGCACGGAGCATAGGAAAAACCCATTTCGTCAGGCTGAGATTGATCTTCGTGAGCGTCCGGAGATGATGCTCACCAGCGACTTCAAGAGTGATCCTTCCAGAATCTCTTTCATGGACTTGCCCGGCGAGATCCGAAACATGATCTATGATCTCGCCCTCTTCGAACCTGCTGAGAGCGACTTTGAACAAGCCGGAGATTGGCAGATCAACGCAGTTGGTGATACCTTTTTTCTCCCGCGCTCGGAGGCGTATTGGTCGGAACTGGACCTCACAACACTCCGCGGTGACCGCACCCTTTCAGTGTTGCATGTTCTTGGCGCCTTGGACAAGCAGATTCGAAAAGAGGTCCAGACGTTCTTCTGGGCCCATGTCCATGTCACTATCACCGTAAAGTACTCCGGACAGGCTTACTACTACGTCGTTCGGCGGTTTCTCGAGAAGATTGGCCCTCTTGGTAGAACCGCCCTCGCCGGCTTGACTGTACATCGGAGGCGTAAGGATTATTCGCAAGCGCAGCACCAGGACTTCCAGGCCTTGATGGTGCTACTTCGAGACTGTAAAACTTTGCGGACACTAGATCTGAGTTTACCCATACACATGGTCATGGGCCCCCCCCGATCGGAAGGCGATGGAAGGGTTCTTCTTACAAGGACAGCACTTGGTCAGTCCCAGCATCGACGCCCTTGTAGGTGCACTACATTCGATTCCGCAACTTCGCTTCGTCAGATTATACACAGTGAGTAAACACGATGTAGGGCAGCACCTTAGATACGATGACTTTGCCGTCTTCGCATTAACAGGCGCGCGTGCAGGGCTTGTAAGATATAGGTTTAAGTATAATTGTATTATAATAACTACTAACTAACTAGTATAGAAAAAGAAACTAAGTACCTATTAAGAAATTACGTAATAGCTTTATTCTAGTAAGTAAATAGCTTATAAGCTTTTTCTAAAAACTATATAAATTATATATTTTAGTAAAGTAGCTATTAGTACTTAATAAAACTTTACTACTAAAGTAAAATACTAAAAAAAAAAACTTATATATATAAATATAACTAAAACTAAGATTCTTTTTTATTAAAGTTAAAAAAGAAAAAAATATTACTATAAGTAACTAAGACTTATCTATAAGCATATAAGAGAGATCTAGTATAGTAAGTAAAAAGTAAAGTTATAATATATAGGTAATTATTAATATATTATAGCTATAGTATTACTAAATAATATATAAATAGAAAGAAAAACTTTTATTATATTATAAGTTTAGTATACTAGAGAAGCTACTACTAAAAGAAAGCGTAGTATACTAGTAAATATACTATAAAGTAGAGTATAAAGATAACTTTTAGAAATAAAATAAGTTTAGAAAGAAAGCTTATAGTAAGGTATAATTTTATAATAAGCTTTATATAGAAGATAATAAGTAGACTACTAAAGTTATATAACTAGTACTAGTAAAGATATTAAGCTAGAAGAATATATTACTAAGCTAAATCTACTATTATTATAGAAAGTAAAGTATTAAAGTACTAGGCTACTAAATATAATAATTAGATAAGAAGATTATTATTAGAGGTATAATCTAAAGAAGTTAAAGATAGAATAAGACTACTATTTTTCTAAAGTCTAGTATAGTTATTCTTATTAAATTCTTTATTATTCTTTACTACTAGAAGCTTAATCTACTATTTAATACTAAAGTAGTAAGCTTTATTATCTTTATTAGAAAGATCTAGGTTATCTAAACTAATAAAGCAAGAAGTTATTTAGTACTAGAACTTAATTTTAGAGTACTTAGTTTTTATAATATTATCTTTAATTTCTTTACTTATAGTTATATTCTTAATAGCTAAATTAGTAAGGTATATCTATTACTTAATAAAATACTTATACTATTAAGTAGCTTTCTAAATAAAAGTATTATTATTATCTTTATTTCTAGTATAAGTACTATTAAAAGTATTTTTCTTAGTAGAGTTATAACTTAGTAAGCGTATAATTCTTTTATATAGAGATAACTAGCCTATCTAAGCTTTACGCTTTATACTTATAGTAGACTTAGAAGTAGTTTTATATTTAGATAGAAGTACTTTAATAAGCTTTTTCTTAAGCTTAATCTTAGAAGTTATCTTTTTCTTAATACTACTATTAAAGCTATTATAGTTATTAAGCTTTTTACTATTAGATATTCTAGTATTATTATTATTTTAAATAAAAGAAGTCTTAGACTACTAAGTTTAAGGCTTCTTAGTAATTAAATAAAAGGCTTAATACTAGTCTACTTTCTTCTTAATCTATACTTTAACTTTATTCTTAGTAAAGTAGACTTTACTAATAAACTAGGTTTTTAGAATAAAGTCTAGCCTAGTTTATATAGTATTATACTAATATAAGCTTTTATAGTTAGTACCTTTAATCTAGAACTTTACTTTTTATAAGTATAAAGTACTATAAGTATTAGATTTAAAACGCTTATTACGCTAAAAATTATAGTAGTTCTTTAGGTAGAAGTAATCTTACTTAAGTTTATAGTTAGTTCTTACTTTTAAATTAGTTTTTTTTTCTTTTTTTAGTACTTTTATCTAAAAGTAAAGTATCTAATAAGTTAGATAAAAGAATTAATTACTAGAATTATAAGTAGTTATTTCTACTTTAAAGCTTTTTATATAGTAGAAAGTATAAATTTAGATAAAGTCTTTTACTTTATATAAGTCTAGATTATCTAAAAAGATTACTTAGAGAGGTATTTAGTATATATTAAGATTAATAAGTATATAGAACTTTCTTTTAAACTTTTTATCTAGGTCTTTCTTTATAAAGTAAAAGACCTTAGTACTTATTAGTAGAAAAGTCTTAGTAATAGCTTTATACTTTTTTAATTTACTTATAATATTCTTTTATACTTTTTATTATAGTAAAGTATTAATATAAAGTAGAGTAATAAAACGCAGTTAGTAACTCTATATAGTAATCTTAATATAGGTATATTTTCTAAATACTTTATACTTACTATATATAGCTATAATAATTAATAAAACTCTTTTTATAATATTTGCTATAGATATAGCGCTTTAATAATAATAATAATAATAATATACTTATAAAGAGTAATAGTAATAGAAGCTTTTCTAGTATACTTAGAAGTAAACTTAGAGATAGTAATAGGTAAGCTATAGAGCTATAGAAATATTAAAATATTTTTAAAAGTTAATATAGAAGCTTTCTAAGTATAAGTAAACTTTAGATCTAGAGTAATATTAAATTATAGTACTATACTACTATAAAATGTAAAAAGATATTTATGTAGATAAACTATAGTATAGAGAATAGTAGCCTAGAAGAGAATTATATAAAGCTTTATATATAGAGAATACTTTTTTTTATTTTATATCTTTTTTAATACTTTTATATACATCTAAAAAATCTACTAATATATCTACTAAATATAAAGAATCTTCTATACTAAACTTCTCTTTTATACTTATAATAGAAGCTTTAGTTTTTATAATAATAATAATAATAATAATAATATCTAGCGTAATAGAATATACTATACTAGTAGTTCTTACTAGTTACACGCGTAGCGTGTTTAACTTTCTAGTCTATTTTAGAGAGTTTTTAATAAAAAACTTATAAAATATAGCTATAAGAATAGAGCTAGAAAAGAGCTTTTATTAGAATAGTATAAAGTAGATAGAAGTAATTACTAGTAATAAGAAATGCTTTATAGCTTTATATATTATAGGTGTATACTATCTCTTCTAAATAAACTTTTTTTCTAATATTCTAGTAATTATAGAGAAATAGTTTAACTAACTTAGTATATTAGATAAGAAGCTAGCTAAGTTAGTAAATACGCTAGTAACTTAAAATAAGCTTAACTTTATTAAGCTTATAAAAAGTACTATTTTTCTTAGCTAAAGAGAGGTAGCGCTTTACTAGCTATAAAAGGTAGTATATATATAGTATAGTATTAGGCTATACTAATAAACGCGCAATAATAAGTAGAATAAATAGTTAGTATACTAGAGAATAGCGTAATATAGCTACTAATATAGCTAGCTTATAGGTAATTATGTATAAAGTATAAGTTACTAGTAATTATATAAATATTATATGCGTGTTATATAGGTATCTTAGATTAGGTTAGGCTTTATACTAGTAGTAGACTTACTAGGTTATCTTTTAGAGATACGTAGTTATATAAGACTAGTATTAGTACTAGTTAATAGTTTAGATAGCTATTAGTAATATATAATAAATATAAAGTAGTTAGCTTATTATAATTATATATATTAACTATTATATTAGTAGTAGAGGTAGTATAGGTATAAGTATTATAAGTTACAAATCTAGGCTTATATTAGAGATTTTTTAAGTTTACTTTTAAAGTCTAATATAGTAACGTATTATTACGTAATTATATAATTACGTAATTATTTAATTTTAAAAAAAGTACACTATAGGCTCTATCTCTTAGGCCTAGAGAGGCTTTTATACTTTTTAGTCTTTCTTTTAGTTATATAAAGTAGGTATATAAATAGCTAAGTCTTAGACTTTCTAGTAAAAAGTAATATCTTAGATACTTATATCTTCTTTTAGATTTAGAAGATTCTTATCTAGTATAAAAATCTAGTAACTTTACTTTTAAAGTATTTTAATAACTTATTTATTATAAGTAGCACTACTATTAGTAAGAGTTATATTAAAAGAAGTTTTTACTATTACACTATTTTTATTTTTAATTTTAGAAAATAAATAAGCTTTTAGAGCTTTCTTACTACTAACTATTAGTAAAGTATTATTTTAATATATAGTAGTAAAGTTCTTAAGCTTTTTAAATATATAGTAGTTAAATTACTAACTAATAATAGTATTTAGGTTCTAAAGACTAATTCTAGTAGATATACTACTATACTTACTTTTAGAATATACTATACTCTATAAACTAGTAATATAATACTTAATTATTATAATAGTATTATAGTAGTACTTTTATATAGTTTTATTAACTAGAGTATAAATATTATAAAATACGTATATAATAAAAGTAACTATAGTAGAAGTATAATCTTACTAATCTTTCTAGGTAAAATTATCTACTACGTTATATACTACTAGATTATATTAATATTTAAAGTAAGAGAATAACTAGACTTTAGTTATAGATACTTAGTAATAGCTATCTATAATATTAGTAGAAGCTAGATTTTATTCTTTAACTTAGTTTATAAACTAAATTATTTTATAGTAAAAGTTATAAGCTTCTATAAAAGACTAGTTTTATACTACTTTTTCTTTTATAATAAGTAAAGTTATATTTAGTAGTAAGAGTTTAGCTAAGTCTTTAGAATCTAGAAAGCTATATAAAAAGTTAAATTTAAAGCTAATCTTAGACTTTAAAAAGTAAGTAGAAGCTTTATATAGAAAAGATAGTAAAATAAAAGTATATGCTTAGAAGCTTATAGTATACTATATCTATTAGCGTACTAAGGCGCGTTTAAACTAAAGTATAAGAGATAAAATCTTAGACTTACTATATAAGTAAAGCGCGTAGCTTTAATAAAGATATAAAAGTTAAACTTTATATAATAAAAGCTTATAAAAGAAATAGTTAAGAGATTATAGTATAAGAAAGATAGATAAAAGATAGTAAAAGATTAGATTAAGTATAAAATAAAAAAAGTAAGATAAGAGAAGTATAGTAGACTATAGTAGCTATATAAATCTACGCTCTTTTA